AAAGACGAAAGGAGAAGACATTCAATTTTAAGTGCAAGGGACAGAGAACACTCACCTCTGTCTGTTTGTATTTCAGATGCAATGAGTCACCACTTAACACATGTTTCTCAAGGCTTATCGGGTATTTCATTGGTTCTTTTGTTCCACTTCTTTTTCTAAAAAGGATTTGAACATAGAAGCCAGAGTGTTAGAAGATTCCCAACGGAGCATCAGATCCTACTTTCTGCACTAATGCAGATCGACCTATTCCTAACCAAGTGTTTTCCAACATTCTGATACCCAAAGCATGCTTTTGTGGGGATTAAAGTAGGAGGCATCCAGCATTCCTGAAGAGTGGCAGCTTGTGCAGAGGTTTACCAGACCAATTTCCATTGCTGAATACTGATTAATAGGAAAGGGGGGTGCCCAGTGGCTCTATCAGGCATAAAATAGAGGCATCGGGAGCTCCTACATTCACATTATGCACAAGCTACAGGCCAGTGATAATACAAGTGCTTCCACAGTGCTGAGATTGCAGTCCCAGAGCAAATGAACATTCAAGCATGTGAAGTGGATTTATACTGAGTCAGGCTCTATGTCTATCAAGGCCGGTATCGTCCATTCTGACCGGCAGCATCTCTCCAAGGTCTCAGGCAAAAGTCTTTCATATCATCTGCTACCTGATCACTTTAACTGCAGGTGCTGGGGATTGAACCTGGGTCCTCCTGCATACCAAGCAGATGCTCTGCTACTGAGCCATGCCTCCAGCACCCTTTCCTGGTGCTCTCGGGATCCTCACCCTCATTCAGCAGTGCTCAGCAGCAAAGGCTGGTAATCCCCCAGCTAACTGCTGCATGAGCTACTGCTGCTTTTATAGCCAGAAAGGGTCAGGATGTGAGAATAGCCAGTTTCTGAAGAGCCCACAAGTTCTGCATATGTCACAATGACTCATGAACAGATACACCACGCAACTTCCTCAAATATTAGCTAATATTGGTGCTATTCTGCCAGGAGGCAGAGCTGGCCTGTGCATTTTGTATGCCCTAGGCTAGAATGCCAAAGCCACCCCTCTACACCCACACCGGGATGCAGGAAAATGATGCTTGCCTGCCTAACCCACCCCCCTCCCGGGCTACCAAGCCCCTACTGGAGGTGGGGGAATTACCAATACAAGGAACAAGCCACTGGGCCAACAATGTGACATCACTTCTAGGGAAAACCCAGCAGTTACATCAGTCCATTCTAGGAATCTCTGGTGTAGGCTCACCCATCACCATCTCTTACATCACCAGTCTCAGCCCAAGTGACTTGAACCCAGACAGGGACAGTGTCCTGGAACAGGCTAGGCACAGGCTTGGTCAGCTCAGCTAGAGTGTGAGCAAGGCAAAGTGTAGGCGCAACTGGCACAGCATGGTCAGAGTCCCGCAACCAGGTCAAACACAGAGTAAGCAATTTGGCAGCAAGAACAGATTCGTGAGCAAATCCCGAAGACAGAGCCCAAACACGGTCCAAAGGTTCAGAGTCATGAGTCAGAATCAGAGCCAATGGCAGCGAGGTCAGAAGTAAAATGACGGGTTGCTTCCACAGCCAGTCTTCCCCCTTCTCTGCCCTTTATAACAGAGATGCTCATCTTGCAGCTGGATTGCATCATGCAAGTTCGTGCCCACCCCTCCTCACTGTCTAGATCCAGGTGTCTCTGGGCTGCTAATCGCGCACTCCGCCTTCTTTCCAGCATCTCATGTTGAACCCTCTTCTGTCCATGTTCCAATGGTTCTGGAGACAGGGGAGGCGAGGTGGATGGTGGGATGCTTCCTGATTCTGAGCCGTGGGACTGAACAGCTGGGATGCTGCTATCAGGCCCCAAATTGTTATTTGGCAGTGCAGAAGTAGCTCCCTGTAGCAGGCTGCCTGTAACTGGCTGCAAACTAAGACCTTCTTCTCATGCCCATTCCTCTTCTGAGGAGTCCTCTGCACCTTCAGGGTTAACTATGCCTTGCTGACCCATGATAGACAGTGTGTAAGGAGGCAATGAGTGAACCTACTAGAATTGTCAGGCCAGGCCCGACAACCAGCGGGAAGCCAGGTGAGGTTTTACCATAGATGGTTTTACCATAGAGTTTCTAGCAAAAAAAACTAATAATATTCCATAATGGGATAGTTTCTACACATCACAGGTGAGATTACGGATGCTAGACTCCAGGTGGGACCTAGGGATCCTTTGTAATTACAGCTCATCTCCAGACTACAGAGATCAGTTCCCAGGGAGAAAATGGATGCTTTGAAGGGTGGACTCTGTGGCATTGTATCCCACTGAGGTCTCTGTTTCCATTTTATTGGAACTAACAAAGAAGGGGAAGCAAACAGTACAGCCAGCCAAAAGCTATTAAAAAGTATATATTGGGGGGGGGTTATTGCATGAAAATGAACTTTGGCCTAGACACCTGCATAAGCTGGGCTCTTATGCTAAATTTTTGGAATATGCTCCTTTCTCAAATCTCCAAGAGTTTCCCAACCTGGATCTGGCAACCCTACCCCCCGCCCATCCCCTGCCAGTGGACAGGGGGACCTGGCAACCCTAGGTGGGATTCGCCTCCTATGTGTTTTCCACAGTGCCAGTCTTCTTTTTATATCTGTACATTGCCAGGCATATAACTGGCACTTGATCATTTTGCCTTGACCCTCCCTCACCCCACTTTTTCTCTCATCAGGCTGTCAGTCGGCACAGACTAGCGGTAATCAAGCTTAAGAGCTCTCCTGCTCCTGCAGAGCAGCTAGGTGTTGTCCCATCAAAAGGTATGGACATAGGGTTAGGAAACTCCTGGCGATTTAGTGGCAGAGCTTAGGAAAGATGGAGTTTGGGGAGGGACCCCAGCAGACAGGAATGTGATGGCATAAAGTCCACCTTCTGAAGCCACCATTTTCTCCAGAGGAACTGATCACTGGAGATTAGTCCTAACTCCAGGAGAACTCTGACCACAACCCTATATGGACCATTTTACTATGCCTCAGGTGCCGTTTGGAAGCAAAATATATGGCCAGATAATGGTCTGTGACCACCCACTGTTAGACAGTTGGCAAAGTGAATGGCAGAGTATGAAAAGAGAGTCAGGCATATTGCTTTTGTATCCGGGCAGCTGGAAGAAACCATGGGGTACGTAAATCCTCTGTGTTTTAGCTGAAATCCATGATGAAGGCATCGTCTACAGTTCATTGTTTATTTATCTATTTATTTATTTATTTATACCCCAACCTACCCCAAAAATGGGCTCAGGGTGGCATACAACATAAAACCATCAAACAACAAGAAGAGATTGGATTTATATCCTGCCCTTCACTACTTGAAGGAGTCTCAGAGCAGTTTACAATCTCATTTTCCTTCCACTCCCCTTGGGGGGCATTTTCCTTCCACTCCCCACAACAGACACCCTGTGAGGTAGGAGGGGCTGAGAGAGCTCACACCATGTGGAGGAGTAGGGAATCAAACCCAGTTCTCCCAGATTAGCATCCGCACTCCTAACCACTACACCAAACAGTAAACAATACACAGTAGATGGCAGCAACAGATCATAACAAGGACCCATGCCTCATGTCAGGCAAGAATAATTACCCCAAGGAACTCCAGTGCCCAGTAATATCCATATCACTAAGGGTACTGGAAGAGGGGCCATAGACAGGGGAGGCCAGTATAGTTGAACGTCCACCACCTCAACCAAAGGCCTGGCAGAACAGCTCTTGTTTTACAGACCCTGCAAAACTGTAATAAGTCCTGCAGGGACCTGATCTCAAGTAGGAGCATGAAAAAGCCCCTGCCCTGGTCGAGGCTAAGTGGACATCCATCGAGCCAGGGGCCATCAGGAGATGCTGGTCAGAAAAGTATAAAGCTCTCTGGGGCACATATGGGGAGAGGCTTCTTTTTTTCTCTTCCTCCTGGAATCCTGGTTTGTTCCTTTGTTTATGTCATAAGTGGAATACTCTCTCTGGAGAATCCACACAGCCAATCGCGGTTGGGATGGATTGCATAGTGATCGGGGAAGCTGGTTTGGGCACAAAAGAGTGCCAACTGCCACACAGCAAGACAGAGGCCAAGCAGGAGGCTTAAGAGTGGTGCATTTGGCCTTGCAAATCACCTCAGAGTCTCTGCCATGTCTCAGAAGTCAAGGACTGACTATCTGCCCAACTGCCCAGTCATACTCCCACAGCAGCAGAGAAGGCATGGGTGTCCAAACAGGGCCCAGCCATCGCAGGAAGAAGGTCGGAAGCACCAGGCCAAGAAAAAGAATGAGGGAGACCCGAATATTATCAAGTCTCCAAGCGACCACAAAGAATACAGGTAAATGAATGGCTTGAGGGGAAATAACCCTGTTAAGACACAAAAGGCCACTTGAGCAAGCCTCATCAAGAATCTAAATGCCCACTGGATCTACTCAGATCTGTGCTCAACAACAGCAAAAATAATTTGTTCCTAGTTCTGAAATGAAGATGGCCCAAACACCTTTTCTCACTGTAAGTTCCCCAGGCTCCTCACAAATGAGAAAATAGTAAAGACTATAGATTAATAGTAAATTAGTGGAAGGTGTAAAGAAGTGTAAATGTGGTGACAATCAGGGCAGTCATTCCATCCTCATATAGAAACGGATAGGAACTGGACTGGTCATAATTATCCAGGTAAGGGATCTAGGGGTTGAGATGGAAAGTGAAATCAAAACATCAACTCAGTATGCAGTGGTGATGAAAATGGTAAAATTCATGTTATAAAATCTATATCCACCCTGAATGACCCTTGGGGGGGCATGACTATTAGGTATATAGATTCCACTCACCATTCTTTAATATTTCTATTATTTTTAATCTTTTAATCATTCTGCATCTAGCATTCACTCCATAGTTTTACCAAACCCACATTGGAACAGAAAAACCACATTCAAATACCCCGGGCCAATGCTGTACTGACTGCAGAGTCGCCCCTGAATGGCCATAAAAAAGCCATAGATCTATGCAGATGGTACCTTAAAACCAAGAGATCAAAGGAAGTGAAACCGGCATGCAGTGTAGAAGCTACCATAAAATCTGACAATCAAAGAACATGAAAGTGGCATGCAATGTAGAGGGGAATTTCTGTTCCAATGTGGGTTTGGTAGAACAGCAGAGTGAATGCTGGATACAGAATGGGCCCTAGTTAGTGCTCTGTTACAGTGGACAGAAATAAATGGAAATTCTAGGACATACCTATGCATGTCCCCAGTTCCACTAAAATCAGTAATATTGAAAAGGTCAAGGGAATACACTCTTTTTCTTTTTTGCCATCAAGTCACAGCTGATTTATGGAGACCCCCATCGGGTTTTTAAGGCTAGAGACCTTTAGAGGTGTCTTCGCATCATGACCCTGGGATTCCTTGGGAGTCTGCCTTCCAAATACTGACCAAGGTCAACTCTGATTAGCTTTCAAGATCAGATGAGTTCTGGATAGCCTGGACTATCCAGGTCAGAGCATACACACACACTGTGTACCAGGAGTCTCAGTGCTTCCTGGCCCCTTCCCGTGACCCATTTCCATTTTGATTTCTAATGTGGTATCAGTGCTACAGGCTTAACCTGGTTTAACTGCCATTTTTACCCCAGGGAATCATGGGAATTGTAGTTCAGTGAAAGTGTCTCGTAGTTTCCAATTTTCCTCAACAAACTACAGTTCCTGTGAGTCTCTTTGGAAAGACATAACAGCTTAAAAGTGCTACCAGAATGATAAAATATTCTTGCAATTATTCTTGCAGGTACATTAAGTTAAAAAATGACTTGAATGTACTGCTGATATCTGACTTGACTGTTGATGACTGCAATTCTCCTGAGACATCAGAAGAGGAGGAGGTAATGTCCTCTGAAACTGACGAGGAAGAACATAATGGAGGAGGAAAGGACAGCAGCCTTGAGGATGATGAAGAGAAGGATGGAGAAGACTATGATGGTGCGGGTGAAGATGAGGGAGCTGCTAGTGATGGTACTGGGGAGATTGATACCAGAAAAAGAGGCCAGAGTGTCAATGACCCTGAAGAGTTTGAAGAACTTGTGAAAAAAGAAGATGCAAAGAAGATGAGTAGCACAGAAAAGCAGGTATGGTACAAAAAGCAATACAGTCACTCCCTCAATCCTCATAAAAGATTTGGCCCTTCCATCTATCAGACAAAGGCAAATGTGTAATGTACCCTGAACAGGGAATGAAAGCCAAGCACAGCTCAGTGTATCTAGAAGATGCATATTGTTAATCTGAGTACATGTAGCACATCTTCAAAAATTAGACTCAACCTTGGGAAAAATCCATTCACTATTTTCTTCCAAGATGGAGTCTCTAATCCAAGCTAACCTGCAAGTTTATTCTTTTTCCTTTATTTATTTTTACATGGGACTTCCCAGGGAAGCTGCCTTACAAAATAAAATGTAAGAAAAACAAAACATTTGAAGTCATTAATAAAAACCCAGCATTTTAAACCAAGTCACAGCATAAAAATGTAGACCATTCAGCAGCTTCAAATAGCCATTTTCACACTAGGGTTGCCAAATGTCAGTTGGTGAGGCAGGGACATAGAGAGCAGCTATCAAAGAAATAGCATGAGATCACTTCTCAGGTGAACCTGGAAGTGATGTCATTGCATCAGTGGGACACTCTATGAATCACTGGAACTGGAACTGGAACTGGAAATTGTAGTTTTATCATAGAGCTTCCAGAAAACTCTAAAGTGTTACATTGACACAATGGCATCGTTACTGGGTTCACCCTGAAAATGACATCAGCCTGTTCCTTTGACAGCAATTTTCAGCACATTAAAGTAACAACTCAAAGTAGGGACCAGATGCACGGTCTCTGATGTCAGTATGAGTGCGTCAGTGTCGAGGCAACATGGAGCAAACACCATCTACCATTTCACAGGCTACAACTGCTGAGATATATTTTGAACTGCTGATAACCGCTATTGGGATAGTTAGGTTTTTCTGCTATGTGTTGAAGTGACAGAATAACACCCTCTGGGCTTTTAAACTGGCAGAAGGCAGGCAATTGCAGTGTAAATGAATATCACATACAGAAGACACCACATAACCTTCAGTAATACCTGTTTATATGTTGCGGGGAGGCCTTGGGCATTGAAGGTTGCACTGAGAAGAGGGTCTTACAAGGGTGTCCCTAGTTTCATCTGTAAATGTTGGACAGGTGGAGGTTATATACTAATGTGTCATTCATGTATTTACATTTTTATTGCAGTCTGCAGCTGCACTCGCCATTTGTATTGGCAGTTTCTGTGACCCTGATGATTTACCTGGACTAGCACATTTTTTGGAACACAGTATGTAGCTCTGCTCCTACCAGGCTGTATCTTAAACAAAAGGGGAGATAAAAAGTTGTGTATTAATGATCTTTTATATGGTGCCACTACAGTTTGGTGTAATGGTTAAGTGCGTGGACTCTAATTTGGGAGAACCGGGTTTGATTCCCCACGCCTCCACATGCAGCTGCTGGGTGACCTTGGGTCAGTCACAGTTCTCTCAGAGCTGTTCTCTCAAGAGCAGATCTTTCAGAGCTCTCTCAGCCCCACCTACCTCACAGGGTGTCTATTGTGGGGAGAGGAAGGGAAGGAGATTGTAAGCTGCTCTGAGACTCCAAGTGAAGGGCGGGGTATAAATCCAACTCTTCTTCTTTTCCTCCTCCTTCCTCCTCCTCCTCCTCCTCCTCCTCCTCCTCCTCACCAATGTGTTTCCTGAGCCCATTTGCTTCTTCAAAGAATCTCCTCCCCAATCCTAGCTTTTCTCCACCTTGTTGACTCATCAGGCCCTTTGGAAGCGCCCAAGAGGCATCGCTGTTGTGCCATGGTGTCTGCAGGGAGCACCCATTTTGAAACACGGCATCCAACATAGAAGGAGGCTTGTCTTGAAACACCTGAGCACTATCTGGAAGCTCTCAGTGTTTTATGACTGGACTGAATGCCCACTTCCACAGTTCAAATTCCAAAAGGAACCACAGGCTCAACAAGTTAAAGAGCCCTGATATCTATTATATTACCCAGTAGAGTGGTCTGGAAAGCAGATTTCTAAGATTAACAAAAATGTTTTTATGATATGCCCATTGTTTCATTTCATTACAGCCCTAATCCCATACAGCATTTGCCCATGAAGAGCCCATGATCCTCAGCACAGACTCTTTTAATTAGTCAAAGGAAATTCCACTTTTGCCTTTTGGAGCTGACCCACAAAGTAGATCCTTCTTTATTATGACTCCAGTTTTCTGGAAACTGATGCTGAAGTAGGGTTGCCAGATCCTCACCTTCTGCCAGTGGGGGGGCTGGGGGGCATTCCGTGGGGTGGGCGAAGACATCATTGACTCAATGACATTACGTTCAGAAGTGATGTCATCAAGTCAGCAACATCAGGGTAACACTCTACTTTTGGTGCAAAACTCTATGGTAAAAATGGCTACAAACCATAGAGTTTTGCCCAAAAAATAGAGTGTCGCCCCGACATCACCAACATGATGGCATCACTTCCAGAAGTGACATCATCACACTGCTGATGTTGCCCACAGACATCTTTTGGGAGGTGGAGTTTCCCCTGCTGGCCAGTGGCAGGCCGGAGCCCGCAGAACTAGTGGATCCCCTGCCCCTGCCTGGGGACTGGCAAGCCTGTCAAAGTTCAGTGCTATAGACATAGAAACATAGAGCTGGAAGGGATCCCAAGGATCATGTAGTCCAACCCCCTGCACTATGCATGAAATTCACAGCTAACACCCTTCCCTCAGTGACCCTCTGCTCTATGCCCAGAAGGCATTAGAAGGCATTGTAAAACCCTCTGTTGAGAGACACAACATTTTCAATGTCTGCGAAGAGGTCCCCTCCCCATTACAAAAACTTTACCATTCATTTCCAAGGAACTGGGTTAATTCAGATGAACGGAGAAGCTCATAACACTGATGTTCTATGCATCTATCTTAGTTTAGAAGTCTCCCTAAACTGGGCTCATATATTTTAGTTGACAAGCCTTTGTTAATTATTTATTTCAGTGGTATTTATGGGTAGTGAGAAATACCCAGATGAAAATGGGTTTGATACATTCTTAAAGAAGCATGGCGGTACAGACAATGCTTCGACTGACACAGAACGAACAGTCTTCCAATTTGATATCCAGAAGAAATATTTTAAAGAAGCTCTTGACAGGTAACTTAGCAACTGTTTGTCACTTAGTGGCTGATCTGCTCTGATTGATGTCATAAGCCTTGGTTGGACTGATTTGTTCTAGCTCTCCTGACTGCCATGGGCTTATATGGTCTTGGAAAAGGAAGAACAAATGTCACCTTGACATGAACATAAAGAGCATTTTAGACCCTAGTTTATTATATGCTTTGATGCAGTACTCACCTATGGTGCACTCAGTTCTGCTCCTTCTCTTACATGTTGCCTTTGAATACTTGGACATTGTGAGTATACATTTTCTGAAGTAGGTAAGCTTGCCAGTGTATCTAAATGTGAATTGTATAGGAATTCTGTGGAACACATAGTCGATATCTGATATGGGAATGCATTGAAATAATACTGTATGTCAGAATGGACATCAGGTCTGGGTGATCCAAAAGTGATGGAACGTCAATGACCTTTCCTTGTTTGGTGGGAACTTTTAACTGGGGACACTGTTTTTCTGTTGTGCTGATATTTGAAACAGAAAGTTATCCATTCATATGCTTGTGAAAAACAGAGCGTTGTTATCTTGCCTTTTCACCAGAGGATGTCAAAAGTCCATGTTGCTATTGTTGTTTTCTATAGATGGGCACAATTCTTCATTCACCCACTGATGATTAAGGATGCAATTCACCGGGAAGTTGAAGCAGTGGACAGTGGTAAAAAAATGTGCTTAGTCTTCCTCTTTTCTTTTTATTTTCTGGAAGTTTTTGTACTACTCATGACAGTTGGATGACCTGTCTTTTATAAAACATCAGGTCATAAAAGCAATATTATTTAGATACAGTGGACACAATCCAACACAGTTTGAAGCATGCTTAAGTGTACTGAAATCAAGGAATGTAATTTTATTGATTCCCAGAGCCTACAAAATTAATAATGGTAAAGTTTCAATTTTAAGCACATCTATATGACATAAATCCCATTAAACCCAGAGGGAGATAAACACTGAGTAAAGATGTTTAGGATTGAGCTATATAAGTCATGAAATTTAGATGCTTCACTCTCTTGGTTTAATTCTGCATACTTTGGGAGGCTGACATTGGTGGCAAACAAAATTGGGGAAAAACTGAAAGGATATTCAAGCTCAGGATCATTAAAATATGTCAGAGTAATTGTGATCAATTTTTGTAGGGTATGTAGTAGCCCATATCCTCCAGTGCAGAAGAGGTCAACTCATTAGTAGCCAGTAGCATTTTTAAAAAATGTGATCCCCCCCCCCAAGCTGGAAAGATACTGTGGGTTTCGGCTGCAAAAAAGCAACTAATTTTTCAACACCCATGCACAATGCATATGTTTTCTAGCTCAAATCTAATGGATGAAATATTGGACTTAAATCTGGAGTCAAATCCTTCTTCAGGGCAAAGCATTATCTCTTACCTCATCTATTTTCTCATCTATAAAAGAGTGGCCAACCTCATAGGCTTCACAAAGATGTTAAGCTTTTCAAAACATTTGTATACTAACTGCAATCCTAAACAAAGTTAAACCCTTCTAAAATCCATTGAAGTCAACACACTTAGAAGGGTGTGTCTCTATTTAGGACTGCACTGTGGCAGCCTGGATAAATGTTCTGCAGTATCATGGGAAGGCTCAACCAGATCTAATGACAAGTACCTACTAGATCACTTTCTGTCGTGTAACACACTGAAAGCTAGTTCCCAAGATTCTGTTTCACGTTCCCAACATTCCATGACATCCCAGTGTGACCAGCCAACAGAACTCAAAATTAAACAAACCCAATAGGGGCTGGCTTGGTTTTCGTTCCTGTGGTCACCAAAAGGAGAGTGTAATTTTAGTCCTCCAGCACAATTACATCTGTGGGTCCACCTCTGTAATTTCACCCACCTAAATGAGAAGTTGCCATTCAGTCTTATGAACTGTACTAGGGTTGCCAAGTCTGAATTTCGCTGCAGCAGGGGACTCCTGGCTGGCGACTGGAGTGCACGCGCGCGCTTTGCGCGCACGCCGCATCCACGTCACTCGGAAGTGAGGCAACCACGCCTGGCACACTGGGGGGCGGGGCCACAACCATCCGAGGGAAAACCATAGAGTTTTCCCTTGGATAACCATGGCCCCGCCCCCAGCATGCCCGGCGTGGCCGCGTCACTTCCGGGTGACGTGCACGTCGGGGTGGGGTTCCCCCGGGGCCCGATCCGCCAGTGGTGGGGAACGGGCCTTTGGGGCGGGGGTTTCCCTGCCCCCTGGGGGGACTTGACAAGCCTAAACTTGTACTCATGGATACTCTGGCCAGGAAACAGAAATCTACTGTCCTCCACCTATTACACTGGGTAGCCCAACCTCACTGACATGGGTTCTGCAGGGGTCTTCAGAGTATATAAGCCCTCTTATCACACCCTTCATAAGAACAGACATTCTTGGGATAAAGGTAACAAATCTCTTTTTATTGAAACCATGGCTTCTTCTGAATGCTAAGGCCCAATCCCCTCACCAAGCATGTTCTTGTCTGTCCATCAGTTTCATCTCTGATTCTGTTTTCTTGATATTCATCACTGGACCAATTTATGGTCTGAAAAAACTGCATCCGTCCTGCAGCGGCTTTCTACAATTATGTTGCATTTTAAGAGTCCAAGGTCCAAAAGATCCATCTGTATATGCTGGCTTATTCTTCTGCTTGGCTTATTCACGCTTCTGCTTGCCTCCTGCTACCATCACAGCTTGCTTTTTCTCACTTACTCTCAGCCATCACATTCATACTCCCCTCTTTAGCCTTTGTACTTTCCACCCAGCATTCCATCCCTAAAATAAGTGGCATGCTTAGACTTTCAAGTGTGGACATTACACTGCTATTGGAAGAAAATACACGAGACAATTGTTTTTAGAAGAAAGGGGGTAAAAAAGAAAAGAATGCTCATGCTGGTGTATTACAAGGCAATCTTGTCCTTTTTGTATTTGTGTGCTGGTAACAACATTGTGCCAGCACATTTGTGTGATACATTTAAATGGTAGGTTTCAACCAACAAGCCCTACCCTCCTGTCAAAGATGGTCCCTTCATTTCATGGTTTAAGGCTGTTGCGCCAACAAAGCAAAGTAGTAGGGAATAGGGACTGAGCCTTAGCAGTGCTATTTGGATGACCATAGGAGAAAGTACCTTGGCTTCTACCACTGGGCTGCACTTACCTTCTAGTGTTCAATAAACATCTGTCTTCTAGAGATAACACAACATCCAGAAGGCTCATGGTGACCAAGGGTTTTCTCTTCCACCTCCAGGCCCTGCTGTTCATGGCATCGCAATAACACAAGTGCTACTATCAGGGGCTTGGGAGGCTTCTTTTCAGTTGTGCTGCTGCCTGGATCACTCTTTTTTGTGATGCTGTCTGTACTACTGTTGCTAAACAAGCAGTTCTTCCACTTCCCTCAAAGTAGTAGGCCTTCCCCAACTCACCCCATAAATCTTACAAAACACAGCCAGGGGTCAATTCGGGGGGATCGCGGGGGATCACAGTTCCCCCGGGTGAGGTGCGGGGGCGGGGCACACGATGAAGTCCCTGCTTCCGGCCGCCCCGCTTCTGGCTGCCCCGCTTCCAGGAGGAGGCAGGAGAAGAGGGAGGGTAAGTTGCTTCCTCCCCGCCTCTCCCCACCCCTGCCTGCCTGGGGCCAGGGAGGGCCTTGGCGGGGCTTCCTCGCACTCCTGCCGGCCTTGCAGGTCCACCGCCGGACCCCCAACACTTCCGGTGATGTCAGAGAGTGTGGCATATGCTAATGAGTTATGCTACTGAGTTCCCCTAGCTCTTTTTCTATGAAACAACCCCTGAAAACAGCAATGTCTTTCTCTATATCATTTCAATTTAAGTACTAATAAATGAGTACTACACACATTTTGCTGCTGCTTCATATATGTTTGTATTATACTATTTCCTTTAACAATGACTTATTTCAGAAATTTTGCTGCTTAATGTGTTCTTTAAAACAAACAGAATATCAAATAGCCAAGCCTTCTGATGACAACAGAAGGGAATTGTTGCTTGGAAGCCTTGCAAAACCAGGACATCCTATGAGAAAATTCTTTTGGGGTAAGTAGAGTATCCTGAGATTCACTTAATATGCAGAGGTTACAGATTTAGCAAAGGTTGAAGAATGGGAGATTCTGGGGGACATTCTACCCAATATTTCAAAATGTTCAGAATCTGCAAAAATCTTTCATTTTGGATATTACTACATGCCTTAACAATATGGGGAGGGGGGTTCTTTTTTAAAAAAATGCTGTTTGACCCAGCATCGACTATGCGATCTAAGCCTGGTTCACACAGAAGATGAGTAGGTAAATGCTTCTGGAGTATCCCGCTTCATTCTCTATGTAAGGCCTACCATGCTTGAATGCTTCCCATTCACATGATCTTTTTCAAACATTCAGTGTGGGTAGAATTCACATACATAGGATAATGGCAGGACTCCTCTGATATCTGCACATTCATTCTCCTGCATGAACCTATGGAGCAGCTCTGCCCTGTACACCAATGCCTTCTTTTGGTTTCATCACCTGTAAAAATAGGAACAGTGACTGTCAGTTTTTTTAAAGCAGTTATCAGAGGAAGATCCACATCCCTTCTACAGAGGAGATGCAAGACTGAGAGGATTTTGGTTTGCTTGGACCCTATTTTGAATGCATTATTGCTGGCTATTTTAAGGGTTATTCTTTAGTGTTTTTAGAATGTATTTGATTTATCGAGAAGAAAAAAAGTAATGACATGAGTGGGATACTGTGCTGCTGAAGGGAGGCAAAGTAGAGCCGGAGCAAAAAGAACCGTGGGAGTGCGATCCGATGCGCCCCTGTGGCTCCGTGCTCCGGCCTTCAGCAGGCGATCAGATGTAGAGCGGCAAAATGGGCGTTGCGCGTTTGTGCACATGCGTGGGATGGGGAACGGCGCTGGCTGTGACGGGCTACCAGCGCTTCCCCGACCAGATGCCTATAGTTGCCACGCATCATCCGGAAGGTAGTGCTCTTTGGGTAGTACCTTTTTAATGCGCGTTTACGGGCCAAAGGGGCGGATTGGGGACGGGTGCGTGACGCTTCTCAGATGTTGTGGTGTGATCACGCCCGCTTGATGCACCCCCAATATGTCCCTCTTGCAGGGCAAATCCTCCCGTGTGACTGGGGCCACTGATGTCTACTGAGAAAGTACACAACTTTAAGAGCGATTATAAGAAATCAAAATTGTTAAAGATTTTCTGTTCCTTGGGTCCCTCATCAAACAGTGTGATGCTGGTGACCAAGATCAAGATAATTCATACCACAGTATTCCCTATTACTGTGTATGGGTGTGAAAGCTGGACATGAAGATGACAGGTAGAAAGTTCAAGATGAGTAGCTGTGTTAGTCTGTCTGTAGCAGCAGAAAGGAGTAAAAGCCCAGGAGCACCTTAAAGACTAACAAAATTTGTGGCAGGGTATGAGCTTTCAAGAGTCACTGCTCACTTCTTCAGAGATAGCTAGGGAGAAAGTCGAGTCCTCTGAAATGTGAACTGCCAAAAAGACAAAGTGGGTTCTAGATCAAATCAAGCCTGAATTCTCCCTAGAAGCTAAAATGACCAAACTGAGGCTATGATACATTGGTCACATTGTGAGAAAACAAGGATCACTGAAAAAGACAATAATGCTAGGAAAAGAGAAGAAACCAACATGAGATGGATTGATCTGATAAAGGAAACCACGGTCCTCAGTTTGCAAGACCTGAGCAGGGCTTTTAACAAAGGTTGTTTTGGAGATCATTAATTCGTAGAGTCACCATAAGTCAGAAGTGACTTGATGATGCTTAACACACACACATTAGTTTTATTGTTGTATTTATTCTTATTGTTTAATTATTGTTGCTTTATTGTTGTTACCTGCCTCGGGTCCCAGTTCTGTGGGAGAAAATTATAAATGTTTTATTTCTGCATACAAATACAAGCCTTGAGGTAGTGTCTACAAGACTGTACCACTGCAGTGCCATTTCCCCCTGCACATATGTTCAGTCTATCCACACTGAACATCTGAAAGAGGCATACAAAACTGGTGCACAAAAGCCTAGGCTACGTCTCCTCTCCATGACTGCTAGTTTCTACAGACAGAGCTGTTCAAGGACACAGTGCCTCATTGTCATCTGAAGTGCAGTTCAGGTCAGGAACAACCACCTCATTTGATGATTGTGTAAAATACACTTCAGTCCTAGGAACTTCTGTAGAACATAAATATATGAACACTTTTGGTGCCTGCTCTTGAATTAATAATGTGTGAATTCATTAAACATGGCAAGATAGTGGGGGCAGGTAATGATAGAAAATCCTTAAATGAAAGAAAAATCTATAGTAAAATAAACAATCTAGAGTGAAAATCCAGAGTCAAATAAACAATCTGCTGATCCTCAGTAGCCTGCTCCTCAGATGTAATTATCCTTGATTGGCTAATTTGGTGCTCATTTGCTGAGTTTACTGAATAGAAGTTCCTTTGGGATACAGTACAGAAAACCAGAACAAAATATATAACTGTTTTGCAACAAGTTGATATTCACTACTAGACTAAGTTTAAGTCCGGTGGCACCTTTAAGGCCGACAAAGTTTTATTCTGGGTATAAGCTTTCATGCACAAACACACACCAGCTGAAGCAGGAAGGTTCTATTCTGAAGAAGTCTGCATGCACATTAAAGCTTATACCCAGAATAAAACTTTGTTGGTCTTAAAGACATCACTGGACTCAAACTTAGTTCTGCTGCTTCAGACCAACAGGACTACTGGAAAAATTTATGTTAAACCCCCCCCCCCCAACTCCATGGTTGGTCCTCAAGAAACTTTCTAGGAAGAGTCTAATTCTAGAATCTAGATTTTTAAACAGATTGTCAAGACTTTTTAAAACAAATCTTCATTTACAGGCAATGCAGAGACACTTAAACACCTGCCAATGAAGAAAAAGATAGACACTTATGGAAGGCTGAGAGATTTCAGGAAACGCCATTACTCTGCACACTACATGAATCTAGTTGTCCAATCTAGAGGTATAAATCCCACCATTTTGCTTTAATACAAGTCATAATAACAGTGATGGATATATGCATATGTATTATGTTAAATTTCAGGAATTCAGTAATTGTTGGCAAATGTCTTAATTTAGGGATGCAATGTGACAGTGGGGCCATTATTGTGATTGAAAACTGTGGGTCCTACCATTAGGCAGAAGCTACTGTGTGCTTGCACTTAGCAATGGGAATGAACAGTAGCCCAACTGGGCCAGTCAAGTGGTGCTTTTCTACACTGCTGACTCAGTGAAATTATGAAGGAAGAGCTGAGTGGAAACATGATAGGGATGTTTCAAAATACAAGCCACTCAATTGTTTATATTGAGGTCTTTGCATAATGGACATACATGAGCGAACTCATGCAGAAAATGGCTGCACATGTGTCTTCCTTACAGACTGATACACACAATCCTATTTCTAGATGTGCCTTGGACCAGAGAAGTTACTGGCATGCCATTGTCACATTATGAAATACACATAGGGTTGGATCCAGACTAGATTAGACATTTCCAACCGCTCCTTTTTCCTGCTGCAGACCCCTTCCTGTCATCACGCAGGGTCCACTGTCTCCCAGGAGCAGCATTTTGTGAAGATCAGTGGACTGCAGTAGGAGGAGGGAGGCAGGAAAGTTCCATTCTGCTATTGGAAAGTTTAGTCTGGATCCAACCCATATCTTTATCAGTAACTTTATTTTGCAGGGATGAATCCAGATCAAATGTACCCATATATCATTGTAGTATTAAATGAAAGGATTGAGCCCAATACAAATGAAGAAGGCAAACTATAGGGTTGGATCTAGCCATGAGTAAGCAGAAAGGAAAACCTACTTACAGTAATGAGCAAGCAGTAGTGCAACAGTAGTAACACATATCACTTTCCTATTTTAATAAATATCAATGTGCCTATGAAATGTAAAAAAAAAGACATTTCACAAAAAAGCATTATTTCCTTTAATCTAGTTTTCCTATTGAATGAGAAGAAATACCTAGTGCTATATCTTGTGCATGCAGAAAAGATAGCGGGGATACAACCACTTAGCTCAAGTGGACAGGAAAGAGTAATTTTAGTGCTTCTGCTGAGGTGAAGACTGTTCCAAGCATAGAACTCTTCTATGGAATCCAGCCCATAGAATGCAAAAAAAAAAAAAGCCTACAGTGAAATAGGACCAAGTAGTTCACTGTGGGTATGGGAGACATGCATCAAAATAGGGAAAGTGCATATCAAGCAACTGGAGCTCTAGCAAAAACATCATTATTGTTTTGGGGGGAAATACAGTACCACCAAATGATTTAGGAATGCTACTTCAGTATTACCACCGTAACTTTGTCTTTGTAAGATCATCTCTCTTTTTAACTCTCTCTCTTTTTTTTAATCTTCCATTTTAGAAACCCTGGATACCTTGGAAAAATGGGTGACAGAAATCTTCTCACAGATCCCCAATAAGTGAGCTGATTTATTTTTTCTGGAAGATATAAAACTGTGATGTGAGCTTGCAAAGTTTCATACATATGCCATATGTTCCATTAGAAATATGAATGAGAAAGAATGTTTTCAATTACAATGCTTTCAGAAGGTATCACTGTAAGATGGAGTCTATATGTAGCTGTGGCTTTTAGCTAATCTTACCCATTTAATAATGGGACGCATCTTTTCTGTGTCCTATTTTGTGGAGTTTTGCAGAGCCAAGGGATAAAATCTAAGGAAGATAATATAGGGGTAAAAACATAGATGTTCAAGATATCAGGGGAAGTACTGATGGAAACTGCAGATGTTGGGCTTTCTTTTAATTATAAGTGTTATAGAGTTACAGTTAGACTAATGTCATTTGTTCCATTCTATATTTGTTCCATAGTTTCACAGCCTCAAGTATTCACTTTACATCATTCCAGTGGTCCACTGGGAATTTCTATGAACTCTGTTTGCATGTATATGCATATGATGCACATTTCAATATGTATTTTATATATGTTTCATGTTTATTTGCTATGTATTGCAAGCCGTGTTTCCATAGTATTTCCATAATGATAAAGTGTATCCAATACATGCCTTATACTCAGTCAGGTCCATCAAGGTCAGTATTGTCTACTAAGTTTTCCAGAGTGTCCACTGTGTGAACAGGATGCTTGGTTGGATGGACCACTGGACTGATCCAGCAGGATGTCTTTTATGTCTTATGATTTGGAATTAGGGACGGGCACAAACCATCTCATGAACTAAAGTTTGTGACAAATTTTGGCTGGTTCATGGTTTGTGAACTGAACTTCATGGCAGATCGACCAGCACAAACTTTCCATGAACTTTCAAGCTGTTTGTTGCAGTTCATGGAGGTTTATGAATGGATACATTTCCAGACAGACTGTCTCCACTCAATCAAAAGGTTTACCAAACTTCAAAGCAACAAAGCAACTTCAAGGCAATGGGGGGCATAATTCTCCAGCCTTGGAAACACCAGGTTCCCTGTGCCATTTGCTGTGTGTAGCTTGCACTTTTGAATGTGCTCCTGACGTTGCCCCCAAAAGCACCTTCCTGGGGCATCTTCTTTGGGGAGCCATACCTCAGACCCCCGAAGTCCAATCTGCACATAACTTGGAGTGTAAATACAGGAACATCATGGGGAGCCCCCCCCCCCATGATTTTCATGTCTCTAACTTGCATAGGGTCCATTCTATATACCCCTGAACCTCCTGAACCTGTACCAGTCATTTCCCCCCAAAACACCTTCCTGGGGGCATCTTCTTTGGGAGGGCATAACTCGGGCCGTAAGTCCAATCTGCACATAACTTGCACACAGAGAAACATCAGGGGGAGGTCCCCTGTGAGTTTGATGTCTCTATCTTGCACAGGGTTCATTCTATGCACCTCCTGAACCTGCTCCTGTCATTTCCCCAGAAAGCACTTTCCCAGGAGCACCTTCTTTGGGGGCCATAACTTGGACCCCATAAGTCCAATCCTCACCAAATGGACAGCAGGTAGAAAAGAGTCAGCTAGAGATCCCCTGCAAGTTTTGTGCCTCGAGCATGCTGAGGAGCTTCTACTGCATCATAAACCTCACAAACCAAACCAGTTCATTTGGTGGCTAAAAGTTCATGAAGGGTGGCTAAAAGTTCATGAAGCACAAACCAAACTGCACTTTCCCAGTTCATGCCTATCCCTACTTGGAGTGCTGGTGGTAGAACGTGCCATCAAGTCACAGCCAACTTATGGCAACCCTGTCAGGTTTTCAAGGCAAGAGATGTTCAGAGGTGGTTTGCCATTGCCTTTCTCTGTGTAGTGACCCTGGACCTTCTTGGTGGTCTCCCATCCAAGTGCTAACCAGGGCTGATCCTGCTTAGCTTCCAAGATCTGACAAGATTGAGCCAGCTTGGGTCATCCAAGTTAGGGCACTGGAATACCCAGCCCTCTCCTAGCACACCTGAAGGTCCTCTGGGCCAACTGGTTTTTCTTCTTCCCTCTTTGATAGCTGTTTACTTATTCTGAATGTTTGTGTTGCTTTTCCCCCCACACAAAACTCCCAAAAGCAATGAATATCATTTTTGAGAAATATTAAAGCAGTTGTATAATATATCCATTGAACCCAAGAAACTCTCTGTAATCACTCACAGATAGAAACCTTATTCCACAGCCCTTTATAAAGGGCACATTTAGATGTACTAAAGCAAACTGGAGGTTTCTAACTTATTTTGGCACTAATGTATAAAACTGAAAGAGGTGGGGAAAGAACCAGAGAGGGGTTTGTGAGAGGATGATTGGCGAAATGGGTGCCCTTACCTCTTCCATTGCTCATCACTTTCATCTGCATCCTGGTCTTCCCACAGCCACTTCCCTTCCTATACTTGAGGGTCCTCAAGTTGTGGGTCAAGAGGGCATAATAAGTTGCAAAGGAAAAGCAGGAGGTGGGAGAAGGGTGTAAGTCCTCCCGTTTCTGCCTGCTGCTTCTCCCCTGCAAGTGGCCCTCTTGTCATCTATTTGAATTTTTTCACAGCTGGGGAGACATGGGATAGGCATTCTTACCTGCCTGACTGGCCACAGAGATGCTCTCAGAAGATCTCAGTGCAGTTAATCAAACACATCTCAAGATTCCAGGAGCAGTTCTTTAGTAGGGCCAGGCCTGATATCGGTTGTGTTGAGCCTCAGGCTGCAATCTTAAGGATACTTTCCTGGGAGTAAGTCCTATTGAATACGATGAAACTTAGTTATGAGTAGATCTGCTCAGGATTGCTTCATTTAAAAATCAAATTGACCAGTCATAGGAAAGAGTCTTGAATGCACTGCAAATAGATTCTGGTTTCCTAACAGACCTTTCCACAATGGAACTGTGAGCAACATATCAGTTTTGCTTTGCTATTTAAGATTTTAAGCTATAAAGCCCTGAATGTAAAGCTACCTATGTATATTTTTAAGTGGTTTGCCCAGACCAACCTTCGGTCATCTGCTGAATCCTTTTGACACACCTGAATTTCACAAGCTTTACAAAGGTAAGCATATTTGATCTTATTTTCAGTATCGTTTGGGGAAATCAGAAGGACTATCATATCAAAACTATAACCTTAATTCTTTTTAAACTGAAGTTAAATAATAACAAATAGAATGAGCAGGAAGTCCCTAGTTCGAATATTACTTCAGCTGTAAACTCAATAAGTTTATTCAGAGTGGTGAGAACCAGGGAGGATTGTGAGGCACTCCAAAGGGATCTGTCAAGGATGGGCGAGTGGGTGTCAACGTTGCAAATGGGGTTCAATGTGGCCAAGTGTAAAGTGATGCACATTGCAGCCAAAAATCCTAACCATAAATACATGTTGATGGGGTCTGAACTGGCAGAGACTGACCAAGAGAGAGATCTTGGAGTCATAGTAGATAACTCAATGAAAATGTCGAGACAGTGTGCAACTGCAATAAAAAAGGCCAATGCTATGCTGAGGATTATTAGGAAGGGAATCGAAAACAAATCAGCCAATATCATAATGTTCCTGTATAAATCGATGGTGCGACCTCATTTGGAATACTGTGTACAGTTCTGGTCACCACACCTCAAAAAGGATATTATAGCATTGAAAACAGTGCAGAAAAAGGCAACTAGAATGATAAAAGGGTTGAAACACTTTCCCTAAGAAGAAAGGTTAAAGCGCTTGGGGCTCTTTAGCTTAGAGAAACAATGGCTGAGGGGTGACATGACTGAGGTTTATAAGATTATGCATGGGATACAGCAGGTTGAGAAAGAAGTACTTTTCTCCCTTTCTCACAATAAAAGAACTCATGGGTACTCCATGAAATTGCAGAGCAGTTGGGTTAGAACAGATGAAAGGAAATTCTTCTTCACCCAGAGAGTGATTAACACATGGAATTCACTGCCACAGGAGGTGGTGGCACCTACAAGCATGGACAGCTTCAAGAGGGTGATAAACATATGGAGCAGAGGTCCATCAGTGGCTATTAGCCACAAGGTATAGATAGGATCTGGGGCAAGTGAGGCACTGTATTCTTGGTGCTTGGGGGGGGAACAGTGGGAGGGCTTCTAGTGTCCTGGCCCCACTGGTGGACCTCCTGATGGGAGCTGGTATTTTTGGCCACTGTGTGACAGAGTGTTGGACTGGATGGGCCATTGGCCCAATCCACCATTGGCTTCTCATATTCTTATGTTCTTATCATTTAATTAAACTAATGATAGTTAGTATGATTGTCTGAATGCCAGCCTCTCAATTGACTATGGGCACTTTCACACAAGCTGAATAATGAACTTTCAATCTACCTTCAATGCACTTTGCAACTGGATTTTACAGTGTGAAATGGCAAGATCCACTTGCAAGCAATTGCTAAAGTGCATTGAAAGTGTATTGAAAGTGAATATGCTGTCGAAGGCCAAGCCAAGACTATGGCCATACAGCCCAGAAAATTTACAACTAATGTATTGAAAGTGCATTATTCAGTGTGTGTGACAGTGATTAGTTACAACAAAGCAAATCCTGATCTCTTGTGATGTCTGAATGCGGACATCCTGACATTTCCTGGCACCACCTTTATACATGCAGTACAAGCCAGGGGAACAGTTGGGTTTGCTATGGCAGAAAATCAAAGGCAACCCCACCACCATCACCACATCTACTGAGGCAAACCAGGATTTGAATCTGTGAGTAAAGGGCTGGCTTCACAAGTTATAAAAAGTCATATTGTCACACAAGGTCTGAAACAAGTGACTGTGTAATTTGTGCAAACACAGTCTCTGAGTTTCAGTTCCCTTCCTGCCATGAGAAGATAATTGCATTGTCCTGTATTAGAGGATAATTGTACTGTCCTATCCTACAGGGATTCTGAAAGAATTACTCTGTACTATAAGTACAGAGTGCTTGAGAGCCAGCATTGTGTAGTGGTCAGAGTGCCATACTAGGATCTAGGAAACCCAGGTTCAAATCCCCACTCTGCCATGGAAGCCAGTCACACACTCTCAGGCTAACCACAGGGTTGTTGTGAGGTTAAAATGGAGAAGGGAGTGTTAACCTACTCTGAGACCTCATTGGGGGGGAAATGGAGTACTCATGAAGTAAATAAATCATAGCATTTAGGAAAGTTATTATTTGAAAAAATGGTTGATATAGCCATGTTGGTACAGCAGGTTTAGAACGTTTTGCATCAATATACGCCTATTTACCTCCACCAGTGCCTCTTCTTTTCCTTCTTGCCTTTATCATTCTTATCAGTGATGCAAAAATGTATATATTTTTGAGTAACTGCATCTGTCACATTTCTTCTGGTTCAGTTATTCCAGTCAGAGAAATCTATTCTTTGAGCATCAGTTGGGCTCTTCCCCCACAAGAAAAGCATTACAGGTAAGGAACCGCATGAAAGCAATGATCCCAGGACATGGTGATGTAAGCAGACATCTGAATCCATCCAATAGGATGCAGTCTTAAGGAAGCTTTCCTGGAAATAAGCCCCATTGAACTACATGGCCCTTACTACTGAATAAACCTGCTAAGGTCCCATATTCAGTAAGTTTATCCAGCTTTGGCTCTGGCCACCCTGGTCCTCTGACTTTCTGTTGAAAGCCCAAAGCAAGTAAACTCAAGGTGCTGTGAGTTACAAGTTCTGATACGGCACCAGTATGATCTAACGGCTGGTAGGTTTAATGGTTTAGAGTCTATTTTTGCATTGATCGGCTGAAAACAGAGAAGACTCTTAGAGAGAATACTTGCTGAGGAGATGGCAAGTGCATAGGTACGACAATGAAACCAATATGGGGATATCATGCAAGGCCTTGCATAAGTGAGCTCAGATGTGGTGGTGAGGTTGCAGGGAAGGTCCTCTTAACATCCCTTCTACAGGAGTATCTAGGATTCCCATGTTGCAGAGGGTGGGTGGCAGGACCAGATGGGAGGAGGGAAGAACAACAGAAGCCCTTAACAGATTAACTAGTGGGCACATAGTAGATATACAGGGTCATCATCCTGTTTTATTTGACCCAGCAGGGCTGCGGTGGCTCAAGTGGTTAAAATGATGAACTGCAGACTGGAAGGTCAGTAGTTCAACAGTTTGAGACCCGGGTGCCACATGACGGAGTGAGTTCCGTCTTTGGTCCTAGCTTCCTGCCAACCTAGCCGTTCAAAAGCAAGAAATTGCAAGTAGATAGACTTCAGTGGGAACAATGAACAATGCAGTGTTCCGTGCGCCTCGGCATCTAGTCATGCTGTCCACATGACCACAGAAATGTCTTTGGATAGCACTGGCTCTTCGGCTTGGAAACAGAGATGAGCACCGCATCCCTAGAGTTGGATTCGACTGGCTTTCAAGCAAGGGAAACCTTTGCCTTTACTTGCATTTATTACCTGAATTCTGCACCGGGAACAATCTCTTATATATCTTTTTCTGTGAAGCACACATTTTGAAGAGGAAGACAGATCCTGCTTATTTGATTACTTGATATGTTACTTCTGTATCTACATGGCAGGATTTTATTTAAAAAAATATTTTGGTATTTTTAGGGTGAAGCCTCTTCATTACGTCTCTTGGCTGATAGGACACGAAGGCAAAGGCAGTATCCTTTCACTTCTCCGGAAAAAGTATGTCAAATGTCACTTGGCATTAAAAGGGTGAAAGGGGAAGCCACTAAGGAGCCTGAACTTTTGACTGATTGATTAATGTCTCATTTTATTGCAGCTCAAAGCAATTCAGAATGAAATTTAAAGCTGTCACCATAAAATATTATAAAATAATCACAGAAACTCCCTAAAGGTAAAGCCAGAGACCTGTATCCTGTTGCTCAGCGGAAGAGCATCTGCTTGGCACGCAGAAGGTCCCTGGTTCAATCCCCTGGCAGTGGGTGCTGTGAAAGACCTCTGCGTAAGACCCTGGAGAGCTGCTGCCAGTCTGAGTAGACAGTACTGACTTTGATGGACCAAGGGTCTGTTTCAATATAAGACAATTTCATGCTGGGTTCCCTTTAAGCTGAGTTAGTGTGAGCTAGCTCACAGTTTTTTAGCCTCCAGCTCACACATTTTGGTCTTAGCTCAGGAAGGATGGCTCCGGAGCAAACTCATTTATGCTGTGGCCAAATCACTCGCTCACAACTTTAATGCCAGTAGCTCACAAGGTAGGATTTTTGCTCACAAGACTCCACAGCTTAGAGGTAGCATCATGTGTTCCTGTGTGCTCATGTATTCTGCCATTCTGCTCGCCAGATAGTTAGATTTCCATTGGAATTGTCAGTTCTATCAAAGGAAGACTCCTCAGGATGGAGAAAGCCTTCAGACATTGCTGAGCAGTGGGGTAAAGTACACTCACTAACAACACAATTTGAAGTGGCAGTGTTAGGTCTTCACAGAATGGGGCTGGCATCCCTAAACATCCATAAGAGCAAAGTGCTAAATGATTCAACAACCAACTCAGTCAAAAGCTAAACATGACAAGCAGAGGTCATTTGGGGGGGAACGTGGGGGAACGCAGTTCCCCCGGGTGAGGTACGGGGGACGGGGCACATGACGAAGCCCCGCCCCCTGCTTCCAGCTGCCCCCCTTCCGGCCCTCATTCCCCTAGCTCTTTTTCTACGAAATGACCCCTGATGACAAGCATGTTTTCAGAAGACACGTGAATGCAATCAAGGGAAGTCCAGGTAAACCTACCAAAGCAATTGTCAGGTTCATTTTCTCAGCATGAACTCCCACGGTCTGAGTGGTTTCTTTGTCCTGTTGTACAAAGACAGCACAATCAAACTTGTTCAGTGGTTTATTCAAAATTGAGCAGAAGCATATGTAATCTTACCTGTATTTTGACCATATTTCTATGGTCTAGTTTTCTGTCACCTTTTTCCCTCTTTTAATTTATGTATTTCATTTTCTAATAGGTTTTTGGCTGTTGCATTATTTGGAGGAAATGGTGAGACGGGATTCGAACAGAACTCAACGTATTCCATCTTCAGCATTTCTGTCACTTTGACAGACAAAGGTTTTGAACATTTCTATGAGGTAATACTCTGACACAGAACTATAAATAAAAAACAAACATGTCTTCATAATGTGCATACAGAAAACACACAAAATACAGATTTATAACCATTTCCATAGCATTATTAGATCAAATCCAACTATACCAAGAATGAATCAGTAATAATTTCCTTTATTATAAACTGCAGGCACCACTGTTAGTCTCCTGAGATCTCTTAAGGATCAAGTCCTGAGAGGTGCTTTGGAATAAGTTTAATTATATACATCTGTTCCACTACATTAATGAACCATTCAGTTTTGGATGAAGCTCTGAGCTTTCACATCTGGCACATGTCTTTCTTGCAGCTACCAGTAAATTTAGTATTATTTCTTGTAAACCGCACTGCTATTATGGGTTGGATCCTACAAACTGTGAACAGAAAAAGTCCATGAAACAGATCTCTCTCTTCCCTCTGCTTACACCATCCCAAAAATGCTGCTCCAAAAAATAAATCATGGCCTTAGACTCACCCAGGGCCATTTTGTGGCCGCAAGATGAGAGGCTGGGCTGGGAAAAGGCTGCCTTATCTTCAGCTGGGGCAACAGGCAGGAGCCTTGCCGTGATAGCTGGGAGATATCGGGAGGGGGTGGCTGGCAGCCTCCTAGCCATGCCAGACAATTGCTGGCAGCCTGGAGTGTTGGGGGGGCAGCGGCTGGAGTGGACCTGGAAGGTGCAGGCTTCCTTCTGGTCCACTCCTTCCCTTGTTAAAGGCACGCTGCCTGGATCCGGCTGCTCCGAAATAAAGGGTGATACGTAGTGATTGCTTGCTCATTGTGTAGAAGAGATTGCACAAGAGGGCAAGATGAGTGATTTCTCCCAGTTTTTCCCCAAGCTACGCCTCCATGCTGTGCTCCAATCTGTTCGCTTAGGGTCTACCTGCTCCTATAAGCTGCTTTTGGGGGGATGCAGGAGGTTGCAAGGGAAGGGAAAAGAGGAAGAGTTTCTCTCTATTGACTCCTTCTGTGCATGCTTTGTAACATCCAGCCCGATATAGCTGACCAAAGTTAAAAGATGTGTGTCTGTGTCGGAAAGCCGACAGGAGATGAAAAGTCTCTGGTTCGGGTTGGCTCATCTCAGAGAGATGAGGGGGTACCTGTTGCTTTTCTACAGGGAGGTGGATTGAAATTGTCCACTGAGACCATGGCTAGTGACATGGACTGCCTGACAAGGTCTCGAGATTGCAAGAGGAAGGTGGCAGGCTTAACCAGTATGGGAAATTACAGCTGTTTCTATACAAATGCTCGAAGTGTCCGAGGTAAAATCGGGGAGTTGGAGTGCTTGGTGTCAGAGGGAAAAATAGACATTGTGGGTATTTCAGAAACTTGGTGGGATGAGGAAAATCAGTGGGATACGGTGATTCCCGGTTATATATTATATCAGAAGGATAGGGGGGGAAGGGTTGGAGGTGGGGTGGCTCTGTATGTCAGAGAGGGTATAAAGTCCAGAAAGATCGAGAGGCTAAGAGAATTGGATTCGCTTCTTGAAGTTCTGTGGGTTGAAATAGGGGGGCCAAAAGGAAACTTAACACTGGGAGTTTGTTATCGCCCACCGGATCAAAAGATAGAGGAGGATTATAAAATGATGAATGAATTAAAGATAGCAGCTAGACAAAAACACTGTGTCGTAATAGGTGATTTTAACTACCCACACATTGATTGGGTCAATATGTGTTCTAGTCGAGAGAAAGAGATTGAGTTTCTAGACACTCTAAATGACTGTGCTATGGAGCAGATGGTCATGGAACCTACCAGGGGAGAGGCGATCCTTGATTTGGTCCTAAGTAACACTCAAGACCTGGTGAGAGATGTAAAAGTGATTGCACCGCTTGGGAACAGTGATCATAATGTTGTTGAGTTCAACATTTGTACAAATAGGGAATTGGCCAAAAAGACTCACACAACCACTTTTAACTTTAAAAGGGGTAATTTTTCTGATATGAGGGGACATGTGGGGAGGAAACTGAAGGGAAAAGTAGAAAGGGTCAAAACCATTGGGGAAGCTTGGAAACTGTTTAAAACTACAATTCTAGAAGCTCAAATAAAATATATTCCGCAGGTTAGGAAAGGCACAAACAGGTATAAGAAAAAGCCTACATGGTTAACAAACAAAGTAATGGAAGCTGTAAAAGGTAAAAAGGATTCCTTTAAGCGGTGGAAAGCTAGTCACAGTGAGGCTGATAAAACAGAACACAGGCTATGGCAAATAAAATGCAAGTCTGTGGTCAGGCATGCAAAAAGGGAATATGAGGAGCATATAGCAAAAAATGTAAAGACCAACAATAAAACTTTCTTCAAATACATTAGAAACAGGAAACCAGCCAGGGAGGCAGTGGGGCCCTTGGATGACCAAGGGGTAAAAGGAGTACTGAAGGATGATAGGGAAATGGCTGAGAAGCTAAATGCATTTTTTGCCTCCGTCTTCACTGTGGAAGATGAGAGGTGCTTGCCCACTCCAGAGCCGCTGAGTTCGGGAGGGGTGTTGAAAGACCTGAGTCAGATTGAGGTGACGAGAGAGGAGGTCCTAAAACTGATAAACAACTTAAAAACTGATAAATCACCAGGCCCAGATGGCATACATCCAAGAGTTCTGAAAGAACTCAATTGTGAACTTGTGGATCTCCTGACAAAAATATGTAATCTCTCCTTAAAATCAGCCTCCATTCCTGAGGACTGGAAGGTAGCTAATGTCACTCCCATCTTTAAAAAGGGTTCCAGAGGAGATCCGGGAAATTACAGGCCAGTCAGTCTGACGTCGATACCGGGTAAATTGGTGGAAACCATTATTAAGGAAAGAATTAGTAGGCACATAGATGAACAAAACCTATTGAGGCAGACTCAACATGGGTTCTGTAAGGGAAGATCTTGTCTCACTAACCTGTTAATGTTCTTTGAGGGGGTGAACAAACATGTGGACAAGGGGGATCCAATAGATATTGTTTACCTTGACTTCCAGAAAGCTTTTGATAAAGTTCCTCATCAAAGGCTCCTAAGCAAGCTCAAAAATCATGGGATAAAAGGACAAGTCCTTTTATGGATCAAAAACTGGCTAATTAATAGAAAACAGAGAGTGAGTATAAATGGGCAGTTCTCCCAGTGGAGGGGTGTAAGCAGTGGGGTACCACAGGGATCAGTACTTGGTCCACTGCTTTTTAACTTGTTCATTAATGATTTGGAGTTGGGAGTAAGCAGTGAAGTGGCTAAATTTGCGGATGATACGAAGTTGTTCAGGGTGGTGAAAACCAGTGAGGATTGTGAGGCACTCCAAAGGGATCTGTCAAAGTTGGGCGAGTGGGCGTCAACATGGCAAATGGGGTTCAATGTGGCCAAGTGCAAGGTGATGCACATTGGAGCCAAAAATCCTAACTATAAATACACGTTGATGGGGTCTGAACTGGCAGAGACAGATCAAGAGAGAGATCTTGGAGTTGTAGTAGATAACTCACTGAAAATGTCGAGACAGTGTGTGACTGCAATAAAGAAGGCCAATGCTATGCTGGGGATTATTAGGAAGGGTATTGTAAACAGATCAGCCAATATCATAATGCCGCTATATAAATCAATGGTGCGACCTCATCTGGAATACTGTGTGCAATTCTGGTCACCACACCTTAAAAAGGATATTATAGCTTTGGAAAAAGTGCAGAAAAGAGCAACTCGAATGATAAAAGGGTTGGAACACTTTCCCTATGAGGAACGGTTAAGGCGCTTAGGGCTCTTTAGCTTGGAGAAACGACGACTGAGGGGTGACATGATTGAGGTTTATAAGATTATGCATGGGAAAGAGCAGGTAGAGAAAGAGGTACTTTTCTCCCTTTCTCACAATACAAGAACCCGTGGGCACTCCATGAAATTGCTGAGCGGTCGGGTTAGAACGGATAAAAGGAAGTACTTCTTCACCCAAAGAGTGATTAACACTTGGAATTCACTGCCACAGGAAGTGGTGGCAGCTACAAGCATGGACGGCTTCAAAAGGGAATTAGATAAGCATATGGAGCAGAGGTCCATCAGTGGCTATTAGCCACAAGGTATAGATAGGGACTCTGGGGCAAGTGATGCTCTGTCATCTTGGTGCTTGGGGGGGGGGTCAACAGTGGGAGGGCTTCAAATGTCCTGGCCCCACTGGTGGACCTCCTGATGGCACTGGTATTTCTGGCCACTGTGGGATACAGAGTGTTGGACTGGATGGGCCTTTGGCCTGATCCAACATTGGCATCTCTTATGTTCTTATGGATCACAAGGCACCACCTCAGTCTGGAGCTCTGGCACATGTCTACCACATTCTAATGAAGCCTGCTTTGCGTAGATATAGGGTTAGATCCAACCAGCTTTTCCACTGTTACAAAAGGAGGAGAAGAAGAAGAGGAAGAAGAGAAGAGATTGGATTTATACCCCGCCCTTCACTTGGAGTCTCAGAGCGGCTTACAAACTCCTTTCCCTTCCCCTCCCCACAACAGACACCCTGTGAGGTGGGTGGGGCTGAGAGAACTCTGACACAAACTGCTCTTTTTCAAGGACAGCTGTGCCGGAGCTTGTGACTGACCCAAGGTCACATCAGCAGGTGCAAGTGGAGGAGTGGGGAATCAAACCCGGTTCTCCCAGATTAGAGTCCGCACACTTAAGTACTACACCAAACTGGAGGGAGGTTCCAGCTGACCATCAGAATAGCTATGCTGAGGACCATGGGACAAAAGCCAAGTGGATTGGGGGCTGTCGGTAGGATTTGAGATTAGGTGAAAAGGCCAGCTGGATCCAACCCATAGTTTTGATACTTTCCATATGTGGTCAAGGACTTGATCTCGAAGTGTGCCTGTGTGTGGGTGGTCCACTTCAGTCCAAATTCACACTGTGGAGGCCTGAGCATAAGGAAGAAACCTTCTATTGCCTTTCATTCCTATTCTAAAGGAGATGCTGATGTGGGTTTTTGCACCCAGTTTAAGAGAATACACCCAATGTGAGCAGTGACCCATGCAAACAGCAACAAAGGGATCATTAGCAAAGCACTGGTGCTCCTTATGCAATTTTTTGAAATATGTACTGAGAAACTGTGAAATCAGAAATAAGTTTGTTAAGATGAATAGCTAGCAAAATCTCAGGCAGTTGCAATAATATCAATCAAGCATACACTTAATTCCATATTAACAGTACAATATGTACGGTAAGAAATAATGTTCCCAGATAGCCACACACGTGTGTGTGAATGGCAAAGAGGGCTGGTCTTGGCCTTAAGATGGAAGGGGAAAGACAAAAATGGAGGCCTGATTGTGAAAGGGTGTAGTGGTTAGAATGTCAGACTACGATCCAAGAGCTCCCCCCCCCAGGTTTGATTCCCCAGTGTGGTGTAGTGGTTAGGAGCGTGAACTCTAACCTGGGAGAACCAGGTTTGATTCCCCACTCCTCCACATGCAGCTGTTGGTGTGACCTTGGTTCAGTCATAAGTTCTCTCCGAGCTGTTCTCTCATGAGCAGTTCTCTCAGAGTTATCTCAGCCCCACCTCATAGGGTGCCTGTTGTGGAGAGGGGAAGGGAAAGGGATTGTAAGCCGCTCTGCAACTCCTTCGGGTAGTGAAGCACAGGGTATAAATCCAGTCTCCTTTTTCCCCATTCTGCCATGGAAGCTTGCTGGGTTATATTCTCTCAGGCTAACCTACCTGACACAGTGGTGGTTGTGAGGCTATAATGTAGGGCAGGGAGAGAAGCTGCTTCAGGTCCTCGTTGGGGAGGAAAGTAAATAATTAATCGATGCATTCTTCAACAAGTTGCATTTTTAGAAGCTCTTTTTCCTCAGTTGTCAAGGGTCAAAAGGAGTAAATGGGTTTATTTCTTCTGTCATCAGGTTACTCATCTTATTTTCCAATATCTGAAGATGCTTCAAAAACATGGGCCTGACAGAAGGTGATTAAAAAAAAACAAAACCTGAAACTTTCAAACTGGATGGTAAAAATTCACTGGCATTTTCCTCTTTCAAGACTCATGAATTTTTGATTCCTCTGTAATGTATTGAGCTGATGACACCCAGCTTTATCAGCTGCTGGGTGGGTGGCCGGATGCCACCCCCAGGAAATCTGGCCGAGGGATTAGAGGCTGTGGTTGAATGGTTGAAACAGAGTCGGCTGAAACGGAATCCTTCTAAGATGGAGGTTCTTTGGCTGGGCTGGGGAGATTCTGGTTTGGGATGCCAGCTCCCGAGTCCCGGCTCTTGACAGCGTGCCCTTGAGACCAGCACCAATCACCAAGAGCCTGAGTGTGATCCCGGATGCCTCTTTAAAATGGAGACCTAGGTCACTGCTATTGCCACACTGGCATTTTCCCAACTGTGCCAGGTCAGGCAACTGGCCCCCTACCTGTCTCTCCGCGATCTAGTTACAGTAATCCATGCAATGGTCCCCTGCAGACTGGGTTACTGTAACTCGCTCTACGTGGGCCCATCCATGAGGCTGACCCAGAAACTCCAACTGGTACCAAATGTGGCTGTGCAGGTCCTCACAGGGACTCCGTGTACAGCACATATCCATCCTGTGCTGCGCAAGCTGCACTGGCTTCCAGTGGAGTACCAGATCAGGTTCAAGGTTCTGGTGCTGACCTTTAAGGCCCTTAACGTTCTGGGACCAAATATCTTCGGGACTGCCTCACCTGGTATACCCCCAGGAGAGCATTGCATTCATTAGATCAAAATCTGCTGGTGGTCCCTGGCTTGAGGAATATCTGGCTGTCCTCAACCAGAGCCAGGGCATTTTCCAGCCTGGCTCCAACCTGGTGGAACTCTCTGCTGAATAATATCCATGCTCTGCAGGACCTGTTATAGTTCCGCAGGGCCTGCAAGGCAGAGATGTTCCGCCAGGCATTTGGCTGAGGATAGCAATGGCCCCATCTGGCTCCCACCCCCTGCCTCCCCGTGAGGCCAGTGGCACTACTAGGAAATTTTAACGCCATCTTAGGATACTACTGTGTTTTTTATTTCTTTTAATTTGTTTTAAAGATGTTGTATTGGTTATCCTGTTGCATACCGCCCAGAGCCTGGTTTTTCTTGGGGAGGGTGGTTTAAAATCGAGATGATGATGGTGGTGGTGGTGGTGGTGATTATTCTGGAGAGGGGTGGGATAAAAATAAATAAATAAAAGTAAGAAGTAAGAAATGTATATATCTTTCCCTCATTTCTTTTAAGCCATTTTTTGAAGATACTGGCCCACAAGGATATCACTATTGTCAAGGATGAGGTGCTAATTGCCCTTAGGACCAGTCTAAACATGCATGCTTACCTTTTGATAGTTTTGATAGGGTAGTTTTGATGGTAGCATGAAATGATATTCTGCACAGGTGAACAAGCTGTTGCAGATCAAACACTGTAGACAGAACTTTGATATCAGCTGAGAGGCAATCCTTCTGGCCAATGTTCCCTCTAAGCTGTGGAGTCCTGTGAGCAAAAATTCTACTTGGTGAGCTACTGGTATTAAAGTTGTGAGCAAGCCATTTGGCTACTGCATCAATTAGTTTGCTCTGGAGCCATCCTTCCTGAGCTAAGACAAAAATGTGTGAGCTGGAGGCTAAAAAACTGTGAGCTAGCTCACACTAACTCAGCTTAGAAGGAACACTGCTTCTGACTAGGCTCTGTTTGCATTGCTGGCTGTAAGCTGACTAACCACTGCTTGCTGTTCTTTTCATTTGCACAGTCACAGGTTTGCTTCCATGCTTTCACTTACTTTAATCCTAGATTCTCTAGACAGAGCAAAGTTGTCTGCGTACACACTCTCTAGAGGCATTGCCTCACTTTTGTGGAGTTTTTTTTATTGTATCTAATCATTCCTCTCGGCAAATTTTGAATACTTCCCTCAGCCCTTGGAGCCTCCAACCTGTAGCTCTTCTGCTGGTAAAAGATACACTTAAAGTGGAAGGTGGCTTCTTCCTGGAGGAGAGATTCAGAATTTTCTGAGTGGGGTGGTTTGATACAGGATAAGAGTCAGTCATGTTGTGAGTCATAGCTGCCCAAGATCAGCAGGTTAATTAGCACTGGGTATTGTCCCTGCTGATAAAAAGTAGAGACATCACCCTGCCAACAAAAGTCCGCATGGTCCAAGCAATGGTATTCCCAGTAGTCATGTATGGCTGCGAGAGTTGGACTATAAGGAAGGCCGAGCGCCGAAGAATAGATTCTTTTGAACTATGGTGCTGGAGAAGACTCTTGAGAGTCCCTTGGACTGCAAGAAGATCAAATCAGTCAATCCTAAAAGAAATCAACCCTGGAAGGCCAGATAATGAAACTGAAGCTCAAATACTTTGGCCACCAAATGAGAAGGGAGCACTCCCTGGAGAAGACCCTGATGCTGGGAAAGATTGAAGGTCAAAGAAGACGGGGATGGCAAAGGATGAGATGGTTAGACAGTTTCATAGATGCAATGAACATTAAATTGAGCAAACTTCAGAGGACAGCGGAAGACAGGAAGGCCTGGCGTGATCTGTTCCATGGGGTCGCGAAGAGTCGGACTCGACTGTGTGACTGAACAACAACAACAAAATTGTCCCTGCTCACCAACAGACGGACAGATTATTGGGTTAAACTAGGACACAACATTATTAAATAAGTAGGCATAAGATTGCAACTTAAAACAATTTCCCATTCCTTGTCTGTTCCAAAATGTGATTAGATAACAGCAAGAAAAGTAGCTGTTGTTAATTCATGCTACCTTCTCAATTTGATTGTTTTCTTGAGAAGCAAGGCTTAGAAATAGAAGCATTATCATTTTCTTTTCCCTCACAGAATATGGGATGAGATCCAAAAGATTGAAGGCAATGAATTTTGCTTCCAGGAACAGGTATCGTCTTCACTCCAACCACGTTTTCTCATGTCCCCAGATGTAAATACTGAAGTTTTCATTGTCTGGCTTGGTTGATATTTGTACTTATTAATTTACTTGGAACACTGAAACACCAACTTCTGGCAATATCCCCCCCCCAAGGGGGAAGGGGATGCTATACAAATCTTAAAGCAAGAGAGTTTCAATTTTTTTAAAAAATGAGCCCCTGCTACTCCTTAATCTTTGCCACACAGGCAGAGAATCTTGGGGACCAGGTTGGCCAAAGTCCTTATCCAAGTTCTCAGGTGGTTCAGCTTCCCTATATGGTCTTTCTAGAGGATGCTACCAATCACCTGGTTTATTTATTCATTCCGTTTGTACCGTGCCTTTCCATTTAAAAATAAATACTCAAGGTGGCTTCCAATATTAAAATCCATACAAAACTAGTTAAGAATATATAGCAGCTGTTAAAAATTTACAAGCACTGAAAACAGGTTTAATTGGAAAAGGCCTTCCAGAAGAAAATATTTTCAGCTGATGCTGGGAAGTCTCTAAAGAAAGAATAATCAAAGAATGATTCTTTGCTTTGTCAGAAAACTGCCATTTTACCCCCAAAGCTCTCCCCAACTGTCCATCAATCTGTGGGGGGTGGATCTGGGTGGCATGGCAAGTTGCCATGGAAGGGGAGAGGTTGGCAAGTTCCTCTTTGCAAGCACAGCTGCACTTATTTGTTTTATTTACTTCGTTTATTCCACGTTTTCTTCCCAATGGCGACCCAACGTGGCCAGCTTCCTCCCCTTCTCCATTTTTTGTAGCAGGGGATCCAAAGTGGTAACTAAATGACCCAAGCCCACCACGTGTGTAATACTTCAAGGTCAATTCACAAAGCTATGCCAGTCCTTCCACTTTTTGATGATGTTTACACTGTGTTTTGCTCATCTTCAGACTGACCCAATTGATTATGTAGAAAATATTTGTGAAAATATGCATCTGTTTCGGAAGGAGGACTTTTTGACAGGAGATCAGCTGCTGACTGAATACAATCCAGAAGTAAGTAGGCCTCATCTGTGTTAGGGAGGAAACTGGTACATACAAGAATCTCTCTAGTATTCGAACCAAAAAAAACACCCAGAAAATTCTGTCATAGGTTAACTTGTTCATGTCCAGATCTTTTCAGAACTAGAAATGGGTCTCAATGTTTGTCTCTTGTTATTTTAGGACATTTTAGGACATGCCCACAGGCTCTCAGTTTCCTGCCTTATTTCACACACAGAAATACAGTAAGGCTGTAGCTCAGTGGAAAGGCACATGGTTTGCATGGGTCTGATCCCAGATCCAGTATTTGTCATCTCCACGCAAGGAAACACACACACAAAAAGGCATAACGGGGATAGTTTAGTATTAATAATATTAAAATGCAATGAAAATAGTCCTGGAATAAACCTTTACATTCTGAAATCAAAGATCCAATCTCTGTGTAGTCTGTACTTCCGAAACTACACTTGGCAAATATGGGCTTAAAATTCAAATTGCCCCAAAGTCTGGCAGATCTCAAGCCTGTTTTTGGAAAATTTGGAGAGTGAGGGTTATGCAGAATTAAAAGTAGTTGGGAGAAGTTAGCTAGCAGAAAATGCATTAAAAAGAGCTTATGGAAACTGTATTTGAATTAGCTTCCAAATTTTAATCCTTTTAATTTGTTTTCTGTAGTCTGTAAAAAAAGTTATTATAATTAAATGCATATCACTGGTCTAGTGATTTTAATAAAATGCTGAACTGAATAAAATGTGTGCTTCTTAAATGGGAAGGGCTAGATTCAAGTCCACTAGCACCTTAGAGACCAACAAGATGTTCATGGTCTAAGCTTTCCAGACTCAAAGCTCCCTTCATCAGATACCTAATCTAGATCTTCTACAGCAGATGAACATGGCTACCCTCTGAAATTAAATTACATTATTTTTAATTCAGTCCTAAACGGAGCTGAACCTTTCTAAATCCACTGAAATCAATGCATTTAGAGCAGTATATCTCGGGTTAGGGTTGTCCTGTTAACCTCAAAGTGTGCAAATTAGGCAGGCAACTTTGGCACAGTTTCTGCGGTTGTCTATTTTATGTAGAATACCTACAGCCATATTCTATCTTATGTAGTGAGAAAACATCTGGAACACTATTAAGAATTGCCTTTAGAGGTATATGTTCTGCAAGCAAAAAAAAATGTATTATAGCAAGAAAACAATAAGGATGTTTCAAAACTGATGTCCCATCTCCAGTTGTGATTTTGATTTTTCCATGCTGATGTCCCATCTTCGGTTGTGTGATGACCTGAGAAGGGAGCAAGGCATTGTAGAGGATGGAACTAATTTTTCCTAAGCCTAGTAAATCTGGAATCGCTAAAGTTAAAAGTGAGTTACATTGTTTTACATTTCTAGGTAATTGGTGATGCTGTCAACCATCTCGTACCCCCAAAAGCCAACCTCATCCTGTTTTCTCCAACCCATGCGGGAAAGTGTCCCATGAAGGAAAAATGGTTTGGAACCCAATACTCTGTCTCAGGTAAGAATAAAAAAGCCTTAAAGTCATTCTAGATTTATGCTTGCTTCTGCAGTTAAAAAAAGGTATCTAGTGACACCGTAGTGAGGTCTGATCCTTAGTTCAATACGAAATGCTAAAGGACTGGGTCCATGTGTTGCTCAGTGGCTACTTCCCACATGTATTAGAAAAATGTCACAGTAATTCTTCTGCTTTGGAAGATTTATGAGATGGAGGTGGGAGTCATAGCTGTGCATCTCTTCCATCTAGCTAGGATTTTAGCCAGGCCTGTTTCAATATCCAACGGCAGCTCTTCAGTCACCTTTAATTTTTGGCATAGATCACCATATGCTACATAACTCATTGACTGATGGCCAGCTACGCTTATATTCTGTTTTATTTGCAGATATTGATGAATTTTGGAGCAAACTATGGGATACTGACTTCCCATTAAATCCTGATTTGCACCTGCCTGAAGAAAACAAATATATAGGTCAGTGCTACAGAAAGACCACTCGGTTCTAATGCATGTGCTCCTAGTTAAGCCATTGTGGGTACACTGATGGGATTGGAGCTGGGAGACTAATTCGGACTCCAGCTCCACCATCAGCCAGTGTGATGATTTTGGATAAATCCTGCCTGTTCCTCCTTCCTCCCGCCCCTGGTCTGATTAATGGTGACATAAAGGTTTTCATTATATAGTTCTCTAAAAATACCATAGATTAAGGGGCAAGTTTGCATATGCATCCAGTGATGGCTGCAGCATCCCAGCCCTGCCACACATGGACAAGCATCTTTGCACACACATACCCTGCTCCACCTCTCCAGTTGCCCAGCTTGGTGCCTCCAGCTGCTGCAGAGCTTCTGACAGCTGGTGCTGATAGCTAGTTCTCCTTGAACCTAATAAGGCTTCCAAGATGCTGGCCTACTTGTCAGTTTGCCATGGAGGACAGTTCTGCATGTCACAGAGACATGTAAGGGCCCCATCAGGCATGGTGGCTGTCATCACAGCATTCCCAAGGTTTTGTCAATGTGTTTGCCTCTGGGTAGGTGACAGGGCAGAGCAATATGCTTAAGTATCCAACACACTTGATTAATGGGCACCACACATTCCTGGTCTCAATATTTAGCATATGGTTCTATCTTAGGTGCATTTAGGTCATATACAGAGACTATGATCCATGTTTTCCACTGCTGACGATATGGCAGATGGATAAACTTGATAAGGCATTTGTGGTGGTGGCACCATGATTAATCCTTCTGGGGAAGTCCATTTCTTAGTCTAAACCTTTACACATTAGGTTTTTTTTTCACCTGCTCTTAACTGAGGCAAGGCTTTTTTTTCATTTCTCTGATGAAATGTCTCCTGGTGGAGGCCTTCATCGTGCTTTATTTAAATGCTGCATGGATTTCCATTTTATGTAAGCCCTTTTATGGGCCAGAGACAACAAACAAAGATATAAATATATTAAACAGGGGGAGGGGAAACTTGGTTTGGGTTGCTTTATAATAATTCTTGTATATAAGAGCAAAACACCTATTTTACAGATTTGGAGCAGTTATTTGCTACTTTGCGTGTCTTCAAAGACACAGGAATTAATCGCATCTCTTTACTTAGTAATGTAAGATGCCTTCTTGATATTCAAGGGCATGAGTGAGCATGGGTGTCAAATTTAACAATGCTTCTATCTTTGTCCTTATACCAGCCACAGATTTCTCTGTGAAGAAATCAACTGATCATAGGACTGAATATCCACACAAGATACTGGAGACACCCCAGGGTTGCCTGTGGTACAAAAAGGACAATAAGTTTATTGTCCCCAAAGGTAAAAATCAGTTGCTTGTGTATTAATATATATAAGAGGGGGCCTGTGAGACACGTGAGGCCTATGAGACCTGTTATGTCTCCAGGGCCCACCACCACCTGCAGCAACAGTGTCAGTATCTGGGAGCCGCTCTGAGCCCAGAGTAGCTCCTGGCATCCTCCACCACAGTGGCTGGCCCCAAAGGCTCTCCTGGAGTCCTCCACTGCATAGCTGGGCTCGGAGTGGCTCCCAGAGTGCTCTGCTGTGGCAGCCAGGCAGGGAATGGCTCCCAGAGTGCTTTGCCGGGGCAGTCGGGCCTTGAGCCTCTCCCGGTGTCTGCTGCAATGGCAGCCAGGCACCAAGCTGCTCCTGGAGTCTTCTGCTAGAGCGGCCAGGCCCATAGCCACTCCTGGTGTCCTCCACCATGGCAGCTGGGCCCGGAGTTGATATCTACGGTGGTGGCTGCCGCCATAAGCTCAACTGGTAAATGTGTTGTCTGTGCATGTGCAGACAATGCATTTTTAAATGGGGGGGATTTAACCCCCCAATGTACTTTTTAAACTTTTCACATTTTCCTGCAAACCTGCAGAGTACCCCAAGTTTGCAGAAAAATACGTTTAGCGTCAGTGTGGTTCTGAGCCACAGATTTAAGGATGCAGAGATGGGGCTCACACGTCACTTGTAGATATACAGACGTGTAACAAACGCTTGCATTTGAAGAAGTAGCAGAAGAGCAACTAAACAGAAGTCCCTGTTTTTAATATCAGCGTGAAAGGATAGGGAAGCCTTCGGTTTACTATTGAAGCAATCAGCACTCTGGAGAGCTCTTACTGTTCAAAATGGAGCTTCAGAAGAACTGACAGGAAGGGTGTTAGAACACCAGAGTTCCAGATGACACACAGGGAGTTCAAAACAAGTGCTTAGCAGGAAGCTTAAAGACAAGTGACTCCACCTGGACCTTGGCACTGGGAGGGGGACTGCATAAGCGCTCTGTCTTCTCAATGGGTATCTGACGAGGTTAAAATGGCCTATTATGTTGTGCCCCTTGGTAGTCAACTTTCCTGTTATCTGGAGTGGAATGGATGTCAGCACAAGCAAGGCTGCCTCCTCAGCACCCTGGGCAATGTGTATAATTTGTGCCCACATGATTAGAACTCACTAGTCAGTTAGAATCACATACCATGCTAGCAATGCCTGTCCTTTGGGGACATGCCATTGTTATGAAGTGTAACCCTGTGATCCACCATAAGCTTGACACACCCACTTACAAAGTGGCATGGAAGCCATTTCCCTGGGGTGCAATCCCAAACCAGTGTGGAGTACGTGTAAATGGCATAGTTAAATGGGAAAGGTGTGTCGCACCCACATACATGGCACCCTGCCACGTAGAAAGTTGTCAGTTGCATGAAAGGGGCTCACACAATCAGTCCTGTCTCCATGGCTTGCTTTATTCACACAAACCTCACAGAGCCAGTTTGGTGTAGTGATTAAGTGTGCAGACTCTAATCTGGGAGAACCAGGTTCGATTCCCCGTTCCTCCATTTGCACCTGCTGGATGACCTTGGGCAAGCCATAGTTCTGGCACAGCTGTTCTTGAAAAAGAGCAGTTTCTGTCAGAGCTCTCTCCCCACTTACCTCACAGGGTGTCTGTTGTGGGGAGGGGAAGGGAAAAGAGTTTGTAAGCCGCTCTGAGACTCCTTTGGGTAGTGAATGGCGGGGTATAAATCCAATCTCTTCTTCTCTTCTATAACATCCAAATAGGGTACACAGATGAATGTACTGCTTTATGTAATTTGTAAAACAGTTGAACGTACCGCACAATAGAAACATAGAACTCAAAAATGAAAATAGACATTGGCACGCAGCGGCCAGAATACCCCAATTGCTTTTGGAGAAGTTGAGGCAAGATGAAGCACTTTCATTTTTAAAATAGCTGTATTTTGATGTGGATCTTTATATTATGGTATCTTTGGTGAGTTTTGAGGAGGAATTTGAAGGAAGTATGAAAGAGGTAGAATCACCTTGGTGCTCTGATGGGAGTCACAGGCATAACAGCCAGCAAGAGCGAGTGATCAAAAATGTAAAGGAACATAAATATGTGTCATCATAGCAAGAAATCACAGGCCATCAGGAGCAAGCTATTTGTGCAGTTATGACTCTTCTGTTCTTTTCCATTAGCATTCATCTGTTTTCACCTCGTCTCTCCAGTGATACAGTTCAGTGCAACAAAGTAAGCATTGCTTTCCCCCTTTTTTACACCACTGTAAATTTCTGTACAAATTGCAGACACCATTGTCTGAATCATCAAAATATGAGGTTGATATAACATCCTGAATGATTTTGGAGAACAGAGAAAATAGTAGAAAATACCTATAAGTTTGGGGCAGGGTTGGAGGAACTAATTTGTTCAATAAAGGCCCCAATCACACAGGCCGGATATCGCAGGGGGGAGGCGTGGCTAATTGTCCTGGTGCAGTTTGATGTGTGATTACGTGATCAGATGTGCCAGCGGCACACCACGGGTTCTTCCCTCGGTGCCAGCGGGTAAATGAGGGACCGGAGGGGAATGCCGTGCGCCGGTGCTATCACACCACGGGCGTCTGGAGGCAGCCCATGGCAAACGTTTACTAGACCTTGGAGGTACTAGTTTTTTAAGGTGCATTGTTGGCGGTAAGCCACGGGTGCGCCCCACTTCCTAGATGTTGGGGTGTGATCGTGCCCGGATAATCCGCCCACCATCTGTGCCTCTCCCACGGCAACTTTGTCGTGTGACCGGGGCCAAAGTAAAGTATTGGGGCCCCAAACAGATCATGGCTAGTGCCATGGTGAAATCATTTGGGAAACTCACGCCTATAATACCAGCTACCACCTATAATACTAGCTACCAACTAGGTCCCTTTTAAGTTTCCCTGCAGTTCATAACTTGGGGGCCTTATCTTGCCTACAAATGTTTATGGGCTATAATGGCCCAGAGGACAGTTTGAAAGTACACCACAGTTCTAGCACTGAAGCTATGTAGATCTGGGCCCAATCTGTATCTAGCATTTGCTCCGCTGTTTTACCAAACCCACGCTGGAACAGAAATTCCCCTCTACATTGCATGCCACTTTCACTCTGATTGATGGCAGTGTCCAGACTGCATGCCACTTTCACTTCGTTTCATCTCTCAGTTTTATGATAGCCATCTGCATAGATTTATGGCTGCTTTATGGCTCTTCAGGGGTGACTCTGCAGTCAGTATGGCATTGGCCTGGGGTATCTGAATGTGGTTTTGAGCCATGCCTTTTTCTGTTCCAGTGTGAGTTTGGTAAAACAGCAGAGCAAATGCTAGATGCAGATTGGGCCCTGATCTTATAAAATGCCTGGATGAGAGATGCTTGGGAATGCTATATAAGCTGTTCTGGCCTTCTTGGGGGAAAAGGAGCATATCAGTGGCTGTGCAATAATGAGTCAGCATAAGATCCCCATCGCCCTTATTGTGGTCCTGCTTTTGGAGAAGCACCTGCCAGTTGTGACTATCTTAGAAGGCAAAGACTGTACACTAGAACTGAACATCAAGGAGCTTTTCATATAAAGTAACCCAACACTAATGTTTTCCCTGTGGTACAAATCGGATTCCCCTAAAAACCCTACCAATTCAAGCAACTGTACCACACTGTCTGCGATTCAAAGCTCTTTGGGCAACTGATGTACTTATTTATTTATTTATTTATTTAATTTTCTACTTCTATACCGCTCTGACCCCGAAGGGTCTCCAAGCGGTTTACACAACTGTTTATACCTAACTAGGGCCACATTATTTGTATGGGGGGTGATAACCTACCAGCACCCCGGCCAAGGGCTCAGTTGTTGTTCAGTTCCTGGCTCGGCTCGGCTGTTGTTCAGTCCCTGGCAGCTCTTCGGCGCTTCACTTCCTGGCGCCTGGAACAGGTCTTAATCTGTGGCTCCTTCCGGTAGGCTTCACCTGGTGCTCGGCAACGCGCCAGCCGCAGCCCCAGTTCAGTCCCGCAGGCTCCACCGCGCCGCGTCACCACACCACCGCGCACCACGACTCCGCCTCCGTCCAGCCTTAGGCAACCAGTGTTTGACTTGGTGGGGGGGTGCCATCAAGTCACAGCCAACAAATGGCAACCCCGGAGGGTTTTCAAGGCAAGAGACGAGCAGAGATGGTTTGCCATTGCTTGCCTTTGTGCAGCAACTGTGGACTTCCTTGGTGATCTCTCGTCCAAGTACTAACCTTGGCCAGCCCTGCTTAGATTCTGAGATCTGATGAGATTGGGCTAGCCTGTGTTTGACTTACAAACTTGTAAATGTTCCTCCTGATCCTCTCAGGAGTCCAATCAACAGTAATTCCAACTGTAGTCAGCTGCATGTTCTGAGCTGGATCCTGCTGCCAGTGTAAGAGTGGACCAGTGCAACTGTTGCACCAGTAGAAAGCTGTTTGAACCTGCCAATGTTAGTGGAATAGTTCTAGGATCCAGTCTTATATATTCATGGCTTGACTTTGTATGCAGTATTTATGCACTATGCTGGAAACAGGTTGTCTGTATTTGGGAGACTGAATACGACAGTGCAGTAATAGTTGGGTTATTCATTTCTGAAATCAAAAGTTTCTGCCCTACTGATGTCAGATCAGTAAGTTTTGTCTGTCCTTACATGATGAGAGGAAGAAGCAGCAGCAAGGATGTTAGGAATTAAAGCCCAGTGTTATGCACATTTATTAGGATATGAGGCTCACTGTGTTCAATGCTAGATAGAAAAGCAATAAAAAATATAAAAGCAAGTCCCATGTTGCAGGTTGTCACTTGGTCTGAAAAGACTGATGACTACTGCTCTAGTGAACCAAAAATACTAAAGAATAGCATAATCCTTAAACACTGGCTCTTTCTTTTTGATATTGTAGTTAGCAGGGGTGGCCATAAACAGACTTTTGCACCATTGGAACCTCTGCCTGTGCAATGAACTGGCATTATACACTTGACCGTGCCTATGTTTGTCTTCTAACTCATCGCCATTCTTTGGTTTCTATTGTTATGCCACCGGTCATTTTTTTCCCATTTCCAGTATGGTGCTTTTTGATACTTTTATAAGTGTCCTTACTCACAATCTTGCCGAACTTGCATATGAAGCAGATGTTGCTCAGCTAGAATACAAAGTTGTAGCGAAAGAACATGGCCTGGTTGTTCGAGTGAAAGGTTTCGACCACAAACTACCAGTAAGTATTTTTGGCATAATTCAATGTGTCATGTTAATACTTATACATGGCTTCAGTTTTGTTTCTAGACATCTGGTTGGTTCTATAACTCTGATTCCTATTGCATTGTTCATTGAATGTCCTATCTTATCGATTGTGTTGACTCAATTTGTTGTAATCTGCCTTGAATCCAAGTGAGAAGGGCAGACTATAAATAACACAAATAATAGTTTAAAAGGTACTTTGTTAATCCCGATTTGCTACAGAGAACACCAATGGGAGCATCATGTAGGAGAAGGAATAAGATGTAGGGTATATTCTTGTGACATTGCCAGTGTCCTTACTCTCTGGATGAACGATATCATATATAAATATATGAAACGGTTATCTTTTCATATGATCAAACCTGAATTGTTTACTCTGCAGGGGGCCCCCTCCACTAGGTGAACCTATCCAATCAACCTAGGGTACCAGAGGCAGAGGGACACCAACCAGCATTATCACTAACCTGACCACACACAGTGACAAGTGGTAGCCATGAGAAGTTCCCTCAGCCCCAGTGGGTGGCCTGCAGGAAGCTTGCTCCTTCCGTTTCTCCCTGCATTGTGGAAATGGCCCCTCTTTTCTCCTTTCCTCTCCCACCTCCCTGATGGACAAGAAGGGCATGCAGCAGTTTCCCACCTCCCTTTCCCCCTGTACTTGGGTGAGGAGGGAATGTGGCAGCCTCCTCCCTTCCCCACAACATAGCACTGGGCAAGGAAGGCATGTAGTGGCCCCTCAACTCCCCACAGTGCAGGGGGGTAAGGAAGGCATGGGGCTGCCTCTCACCTCTCCACAGCCCAGGGGGTGAGGATGGTGGCCACTTTTCTGCTTCCCAGTGCTACAGAGGGGAAGGGTGGTGGGCAGCAGGAGGGTATCATTGCTGCCCTAACCTAGGCTAGCCCTGTTACTCTGGCTGGTAGTTGCAAGTCAATGGAAGATTCTTCCAAGCCCTGTTACCTGAAGTCTTTCAATGGGATTTACCATTTCATTGGGTACATCCATGAAGTCAAGAAATGATGTGATACACCATGGCCTGCTTTGCCCACTTGCTAAGTGCCACATACCATCTCTGGATTCTGAGGCATTTATAGATACTGTCTGAATATTTCGGCTTACAATTCTACTTGTGTTTTTACATATCTGAATTTGTCAGCAAGTCATGTTAGAAATTACCAACCATTCTTAACATTTCAAGATAAGAGCAGGCTATTTCAAGAAACACCATGTGCTTGTGGTTAATAACCAACCTTCATGTCAGTCATCTATCAGTGAGTGTTAATATTTCCGAAGACATGCTTACAGGTGTCCAAACAAAGCCTTGAATTGAGCTGGTCTATTGCAGACCAACACAGCTACACTCTGAAACTATCTTTAAAGTTCACTTGCAAATGTCAGAATATTCTGGAATTACTTCCTTGCTAAACGTTATTACTAAATGTCAGTATTCACTGCATTTCTGTAGTTTACCACAGCATACATCATATGACTCCTCTGTATTTTGGGCTCTTCTATTTCAACTTGTTTCCATGAATTTGAGAGGACCCATGAGGAGAGGTGTAGTAGACCCTTACTGGGCCAAAATGATCTCATTAATATTAACATTATTTCCCTTTCCCCTCTCCCAGTTGCTCTTTCAGTTGATTTTTGACCACATAGCTGACTTCAGTTTCACACCAGCAACTTTCGAGATGATAACTGACCAACTGAAAAAGACATATTTTAACTTTCTCATCAAAGCAGATACACTGGCAAAGTGAGTGTCTTTGGGGTGATAATGAGAAAAGTCATATAATGTTGAGTATACAGTGATATACATCTGTTTCTCTACAGAATATAGGTAGCCCTACTGGATCATATCAAGAGGCTATCTAGTCCAGCATCCTTTCCCCAATAATTGCTAACCTGATACCCCTGGGAAGACCACAAATAGGGCATGAAGGCAATAGCTATCTCCTACTGCTTTGGGGCGGATCCCAAGCTGCTCTTCTGTTGGCATAATAACACTTACAGCAATGGACCAACTTTTCTGACCATGGTGGGGACAATTTTGCCAATTCCCCCCACTACATACCCCACCTTTGCCCTCAGTTCTGTTTGAGAGATTCCTTAGTATCCATAATCAGGTTGCCATGGTGCATAGTGGGAGAGGGGAGTGGGAAAGTTCTATCCCATGTGTTGTGTTCTGTCAGCTCTGCTTTGGATCAAACCCACTATCTTCCTAATACTTTTGTTCTTCAATACAATGATAGTACTTAAAGCTCAGAATGACATTTTATGAATAATTGTGCCTTACTGATGAAACTTTCACCTGGGTTTGCAGAGACCTTCGGCTTTCAATACTGGAGCATGGCAGGTGGTCCTTGATAGAAAAATACGAGGTTTTAAATAATGGCCTTTCCACAGAAGCTCTGTTAGCATTTGTGAATGCTTTCAAATCTCGCTTGTGGGTTGAGGGACTTGTCCAAGGAAACTTCACAGGCAATGTAAGTATAGAATTCGGATTGTGCTTTCACTGGAGGCAAACACTTAGCAGTTGTGCACATCATTTTATTTGCCCTTGTTGACCCCTTTCCATCATTTTATGTTCATAAATGGAAGGAAGTCCCTTTCACTTGAATGAAACCCACTCTTTACCATTTATATCCTAGGAATCAAAGGAGTTTCTGAAATACATTGTTGAGTGAGTACCTTGGGATGACTCTTTCACTTTTAGGTAATGCAGGACTGTCCTGAGGGGAGAAAAATATAATGGTCTGTATGTTGAATCTTTTTGAAAAGTCCATTCCTTTTTAAATTTTAATAAATGGCACATGAAATAACTTGAAATGTGGAAGTTTTAAAAAACCGCATTCCAATATTCCTTTCTAAATTTTATGAGCCTGTGAGCTAAATGGAGCCTTCATTTTCAAAGGCAATGTACATCACAAGTATTATGAAGCATTTGAAAAAAATTAAATCATCTTCAGAATTGCACAGTAAATAGTTGTCTGCTTTCGGACATAATCTAGGCAAATATAAGAAATTAAGTCACATTTCCTTTAATGAGTGAGAAGTAATCCCATGTTTACAAGTTAAGTATAGGATTAATTTCCAATAGGACTCCAAAGAGCATAACTTTGGTTGTGACACGTCATTATTATTTTTCAAAATAAATATAAGGACCATGAGCCAGCAAAAATTAGGCACTTTTATATTCCAGTATTTTTAATATGAAGATGACTCTCTCATTTAAATCAACAGTATTTAAAAGTGCTTAATTTGGTCTAGATCATGTTCATACTACTGTTCTTCTTCAGCAGTGAATATTCTTATGTGTGAAACTGTTCACTTCAAAAATCTGATCACAATCCTGTCTCCCAAAGACGCAACAGTAGCCGTGAGGAGTTGTCATATATCTCAATGTAGTCCTCTTTCCTTCGTCTCATCTCCCTTGGTCACCATGTGTACTTATAAGCCGTTCAACTGGCCATAATAGATGGTGGGAGCCTGGTGTCATCTTCCATCTTCCTGTAGAGCCCTCACCTCCATTGTGCAAGTTATGTATGCTTGGAGCTCAGCTCATGGTAATTTTTATCCAAATGAGAGGAAGGGCTGGATGAAGATATAGAAAGCATGCACATACCTTTCAGTTCCAGTATAACAGCTGGGTGTGCCCATGCTGGGTAGGTAGGGCAAATCAAGGCAATATGGCAATTCCTCCATGAATAGTGCTATGCCCGGAGTTAGTTAGACCATGTGATTTTAATTTTATTTTTGGAAAGGAAATTTCCCTTCATATTCTTAAATCATTACTCTGGAAGAGACTATAAAGTCACTGAGTCCTGATGTAGAATCTCTTCTACCCAAGCACTCTTAATGAGAACGATACACCCTAAGAACAGACTGAGCTGTAGCCAATTGATATGCTACAAAATCAGCCTAATGTACACATTTAACAGCTCATAAAAGTCATGTAATCGTGCTCCTGATCTCTGATTATACATTTGTTAAACTGGGAAATGATCCATGAAGGCATGTATGCAGCAGCCTGGCTGAAGCTTAGCAAATGTGGGTCTGGTCAGTGCCTGAGCGAGAGATCTGAGATCCTTATATTCCACAAAGTCTTGTACCCAATGATGAAAGAAAAGTGGGGATGTGAAATAAATAAGTACCAGTATGAACCCATGAAACCAGAAAAGGCCTTTCTGGTTTGCTTTGAAGAAACTACAGTTGTTCACCACTATGTTTTTGATTGTTCTTTTCAGCAAACTGCAGTTCCTTCCACTTCTACACCCGTGTCCTGTTCAGTTCCGGGTGATAGACTTGCCAGTTAGTCACTTTGTATGTAAAGTGAAATCCCTTCACAAAGGAGATGCCAACTCCATTGTCACTGTCTACTACCAGGTAATGTGTTGCTGATATGGGCCTATTAATCTTGGATGTGTGGCCACTTGTTGAGTCAGTGGTATTTAGGGATGCCAGCCTCCAGGTCAGACCTGCAGGTCTCCCAGAATTACAGTTTATCTCCAGACTAAAGAGATAGTTCTCCTGGAGAAAATGGATGCTTCGGAGGGTGACCTCTGTGGCATTGTATCCCACTGAGGTCCTTAACCTCCCCAGACTGCATCCCTAAGCCTCCAGGAGTTTCCCAAACTAGATCTGGCAACCCTACCCCCCATCCCCTGCTGGTGGCCAGGGACACCTAGCAACCCTAGTAGTGTTCAGGGACTAAAATTATGTTTGGATCTGTAGAGTTTAGAAATGAACCAGTTCGTGCCTCATTTACCATTTCCATTTCATTTATTAGCTTCATTGACCCGAGGTCTTAAGCCAAACATACAAACAGCAACTATAAAATGCATTACATATAATTACAAGATAATTTAGACCAAACGTCTTTACAATAAAAGCTAGTAAACATACTCTCGAACAGTATTATCAGACCACATTTTATAAACTTCAAGTGCCTCATTTACAAGTTCGACCAAATGCTGCTCCAAAATTTGACTGATATTTGCCCGTTCCAACCTTCTCTGCCACCAGTTCCCTTCCTTCCACTCTTTATCCACACGTAGAGAAAGTGAGGTAAACTATTGGCAGGGAAGATTGAGGAGGGTAGATGCTAAAGTAGGTGGTCTTTAGAGAGGCAGCATATAGTTATTTTTAGATAAATAAAGTAGGCTAATTATAGCAAAGGACCAGTCTCTAACTCTCCAGTATTTGTGGTGATCAAAAATAGGCCTTGGAGGATGCTGTTAAGCCTTCATTGCTTCTGGCAATCCTGGCTCAATCAGTTAAGCCACTAAAAATTAACGCTAAAGAAACCAGCCTGTCCAAAAGTAATGGAGGCTTAACTATATCTTCCAAGGCCTATTTTTGACCACCACAAGCAACAGGGTGTTAAAGATGGGCCCCATTGCTCTCTCCAGCATTCTTGACGCTAAATTCATCTTGTCCTGCCCTTGCAAAAGTAAGTTTGGAAAAGGGGGGTGGGATTGATGGCAGGAAAGACTGGAGAGAGTGGATAGTTAGCAGGGAAGTGCTCTCAGAGTTTCAGCGAATTTTCAGGGGAAATTTTCAAGAATTCTCTGGAAGAACTTGGGGAAACTGAGCACATTTAAATAGGGGGTTTGGCCACTTCTAGCAGTTGGATTCTTGTCCAAGTTTATATTCGTTGTTCTAGTAATTCCTGGAATCATACTGTGCCTCCTGGAGTAAGTATGCACAGTAGATTCTAGACCACACATTTAACGGTTTGTATGGGACAAAGTGATACTGCCCTCTCAATGGAACTGACAGAATGACCTAAAACATACAAGATCTTCAGAGATTGTATCATGTGGAAACAATTCCCTGAAGGCAGGCAGTTTGAAAAATATAGCCTTCAGGGCCAATTCATGTTTTGCAAAATCCTCATGTCCCCTGTGAGTTCTGTTGACAAGAAGTGCTCTGAGCATTCCATGGTTGGAACTTAATTCCTAGGTGGGTGGAGTCCAGTTCAGATTAGGTAAAAGGTAAAGGTTCCCTTGCTCGAAAGCCAGTCAAATCCGACTCTAGGGTTGCGGTGCTCATCTCCATTTCAAAGCCGAAGAGCCAGCGCTGTCCGAAGACATTTCCGTGGTCATGTGACTAAACACCAAGGCGCCCAGAATGCTGTTACCTTCCCACCGAAGTGGTACCTATTTATCTACTTGCAATTTCTTGCTTTCGAACTGCTAGGTTGGCAGGAGCTAGAACTAGAGACAGGAACTCACTCCGTCATGCGGCACACTCGGGTCTCGAACTGCTGAACTACCGACCTTCCACAGCCTGCAGTTCAGCGTCTTAACCACTTGAGCCACCGCAGCTCAGATTAGGACCATGGTGCATATGAAGAGGGGCTCATGCTTCTCCCCTGGCACCACTTTCCTAGGTTCATTATTGTGGCAACCAGAAAACTGGAAACTTTGCTTCACAGAAAAATTGCTAACCTACTCTCACCTCTTTTTGTTTTTTTCAGACTGGAGCGAGGAGTTTAAAAGACTATGCACTCATGGAACTGCTTGTGGTATGTTTTGATGCTCTTTCCATAAAACATGCACGATTATATGTTTGAAAGACCAATTATAAACATGAGAAAGTGACATGCAGTCACGGGTGACCCCCGTAGCATTTTCAAGGCAAGAGACAAACAGAGGTGCTTTGCCATTGCCTGCCTCTGTGGAGTAATCCTGGACTTCCTTGGTGGTCTCCCATACAAGTACTAACCAGGACCAGACCTGCTTAGCTTCCAAGATCTTGTGAGCTTAGGCTAGCCTGGGACACCCAGGTCAGGGAAATGTATTAACATAGATTGCTCTAATTGGTTTACTGAAAATGAAGGTGGTGCTTTGAGATTTATTGTCATCTTGGTGCGTGTTGTATGGATCAAGCTAAATGTTCACATGGAAATCACACTGCCTTTCAGATGCACATGGAGGAGCCATGCTTTGATTACCTGAGAACCAAACAAACCCTGGGGTGAGTTTGCTGCTTGCAGAAAGCCTTGAAGTAAACTTGAGGATCTCTGGGCACTTAATTGTTCTGAGAACTTCCTACTATTTGGTAATGGATATTCATGGAGCAACATTGCAAACTGAGGTGGCCAGCTTCTCAGAGGTCACTTCGTTCTCCAGGCACTAATTTGTGAAGCTTAGAACAATCCAAACTCATGGATGGTCAGGGTCTATAGTAAAATATTATCACATAGGAAGAGCTTCACGTAAATGGAGCACTCCTCCCTCCCTCCCTCCCACTGTGGCCTGAAATGGCCTCTGCGGTGCTGTTCCTGGGTGTTTTGTGCTCCAGCAGAAGGGTGTGTGTGAGAAAGTTAAGCTTTGTGGCCAGAAATCCTTCTGCCCAAGGAAAGGCAACACTGGATCCAAGCCATTGCTTCTCTTCCTTACAAGTGAATCTGCGAACTGTGGTGAATCCAAGTTAATCCAAACTATACTTGGATTAAAATTTGGGACAAAAAATTGTGCCATAGGGATCGAGGTAAAGGTGATTTGGAGAGTAGTTCTTGTGTACTGACTGCCGGTCCCCTATCCCCTTTTAAGTACTTACAGATTTAGGCTCTGTGCACTTAACAAAAGGTTTCACAGTAGTTCAAGAGCCAAGGTCTAAAAAACCTGAAATCCCTTTCTGTCCACATTATTGTCAGTGGAGATGTGTCAGCACAATAGTGTAGCATATGACAACAAGTATCGTCCTACACCTATCTTCCTACAACTGGTTGTCTACTTCAAACAATTGGTCATGGAAGCATGATATAAGAACACTTGCCTGATAAGAAAATCCTTACTATTTTATTTGGACCTAGTAAAATATTACCCTTTTATTACTGATGGATTTTCCAATGGATCAACATGACTGCCTGCAATGTTTACTTCCTTACTGAAATTACAGTATTCATTATCATTATAGTTGTGGTCAATTAACAAATGACTTAAATCTATATACTATTAGCCAAAGTCCATTCTCTGTGCTGATACTTATTTCCACCAACAGAGGGCTCACTCTCTCCCAACAGCTTTTTTCTACAGACTCAGGGGACTCTCTTAACCTGCAGAAAAACCCAAAAAGTTAAAAAAAACTTGGGGAGGGTTGAATTCCCCCCAATACCTTTTGAAATGGCCTCCACAAGGATCTACTCCAGGCATCAACAGTGAAAGATTAGAACGTTTGAAAGGGGGGAAGGCTTCTAATTATATCTGACCCTCCCTCCCTCCCTCCCTCCTTCCAGCCTATTTTGGCCTTTGGAGGAGGGAGCCTTGGAGCCAGGCCTGACAAGGCTTGCCAGTGCCAGTCTGGGGAATTCCTAGAGATTTTGTGGTAGACTTTAAGGAGTGCTGGGTTTGGGGAAGGGGAAGGGGGAGGCCTCAACTGGGTATAATGCCACAGAGTCCACCCTACAAAGCAGCCATTTTCTCCAAGGAGACAGATTTCTGCTGTCTAGAGTTCAGTTTTAATTCTGGGGGGTCTCCAGGTCCCACTTGGAGGTTGGCAACCCTAGGTTTGGCAGCAGTCTAGGGTTGCCAGGTCCCCCCTGGCCACCAGCAGGGTATGGGGGGTAAGGCTGCCAGATCCAGAATGGAAAACTCCTGGAGATATGGGGGTGGATCCTGGGGAGGACAGGGACCTCAGTGAGGTACAATGCCACAGAGTCCACCCTACAAAGCATCCATTTTCTCCATGGGAAGTTTTCTCTGTACTCTGGAGATGAGCAGTAATTTCAGGGGATTCCCCGGTCCCACCTGGAAACTGGCATCCCTAGGCAGCACCCTCTGGGTGACTTGATACCACCTGATCTGCATGACTCAAGTAGGCCCAGCTGCTTGCTACTGTTCATCATCAGCCACCCTATGAAAGCCAGTGTGGTGCAGCAGTTAGAGCTTCAAAGCAGGGTCTGCAAGACCCAGGTTCAGATTCCCATCTTGTGGTGAAAGCTGACTGGGTGATTTTTGGACCAGTCACATACTTTCAGCTTAACAAACCTCATGGGGTTGTTATGGAGATAAAAAGGAGAAAAGAATAATGTAAGCTGCTTTGGTCCCCACTGTGGAGAAATACTAATTTTCCTAGGTAGAGGCTGTGGGGGAGGGGGGGTGGAGACAGAAAGCTGAAGACGGAGAGGCAGATAAACATAGGTTGACTGTTGGGTAGGAAGGAAACAGGGTTGCCAACTCCAGGTTGGGAAATCCCTGGACATTTGAGGGGCGGAGCCTGGGGAGGGTGGGATTTGAGGAAGGGAGGAACTTCAGACTGGTATAATGCCATAGACTCCACCCTCCAAACCAGCCATTTCCTCCACAAGAACTACCATTGCCTGCCTCCAGGTGAGGGCTGGAGATCACCCAGAATTACAACAGTTGTCCAGGTGACAGAAATCAGTTACCCTGGATAAAATGGCTGCTTTGGAGGGTTGAGTCTATGGCATTATACTCTGATGAGGCTGCTTCCCTCCCCAAGCCTCACTGTCCTAAATCTGCACCCCCAAATCTCCAGGAATTTCCCAACCTGGAGCTGGCAGCCCTAAGGTGAATAGATTTCTGTAGCTGGGAGATCCGTTGTGATTCCTGGAGAGCTGCCACTGCTGCTGTGGGGGGAGAGGAAGCAGGTGGGTGGCTGGGAGCACTGCCACCACTGCTGCTGCTGCTGTGTGGGGTGGGGAGGGAAGCAGGCAGGAGGCTGAGAGAGTGATGGGGGCAGAAAGAGAGAAAGAATAATGAGGTGGGGAGGCAGAAAAACGAAGAATGATGAGGGAGCAGAGAGGAAGTAACATGCATGGAGGAGAGATAGAGAGTAAGAAAAGGGGGACAGAAGGGAGAAAGAGT